AGCTCCCTGCTGTGGAGGCGCCGGCCGCCGAGCTGGAGAGGGCGGTCTGGAAGCTGCCGCCGGCCCTCCGAGAGGCGGCGGCTCCTCAGCTCCAGCCGCCCCGTCCCCGCCCGGGCTGTGGGGCCCGAAGGGAAACATGACCAACGCCCCCGCCCCCTATTCCGGGCCGCTGTCCCGCCGCCCGACAACTCAGCGCTCCCGCTCCAGCCGCCACTTCCGGGTGCCGCGTCCTAAAACTGCCGGCTGGGAAACCCGCGTCACCGCTAGGCTGCCCTCCGTCGGGGACCGAAAAGCAGGGACACCGCGGAATCGGGAGCGCCCCAGCCCAAGAGGACTGTGAGGTCAGTAGGCACTAACCCTCTGTGAGCAATGTCGGACGCACAGGGCCAGCTACAAGCAGCTGAGAGTCCGCCCGCAGCTGTCAGTGAGCACTGACTGGCTGTGTGCCTGACCATTCGCCAAGACGCGGTCTGATGACCTACTGTTGTCCTTACACGGAGATTGGGCGGGGTGAGGAGGGTGTGTGTATTACTGGATTATATGTAGGTCACACAGTAAATCTCATGGCGCACTGCCTACTCAGCCTAGAAGTCTAAAGATTCAAGAACATTCGCACGCAAAAAGCACTGGACTGTACAGTGCCTAGAATAAAGGAACCTATCGATGCCTTAAATATCTGCCGCAATCTCGGCTACTGCGCAGCCAGGTATCTCTTCATCAGTGTCAGAGCCTTCTCTTCCCTGCATACATGCAGCTAGGAGTAACTGAGGGGAACTGGAGAGCTGAATCAATTCAACCCCACAAAGCAAGAGATCATAATGCAGCTGCTGAGCACTGCACGAAGGGCCTTTCTCACTGCTGCTGCTGAGTACAAATCAACCTGTTGTCGGGGAGAGAGAGGTTAACAGGAAATGGGGCTTTTCAGTGCAGGGAATCTTAGTCCTCAAAAAGGAAAGCTTAAGGTAAAGCAGACAGATGTAAGCACTGACACATTTTCCAGGTCTTGTTAAGGGCAGCGTTGTAGAAGCTCACATTTGGAGACTGTGATGGTAAAAAAGATAGATCTGGAAGATGTCTGGAGGAAGGTAATTAGAGAGTCAATGGTTGAACTTTCAGCAGAAAATCATGAAGTCCTCATTTAGTCTGTATTGGCTCCAGATAATCAGATTTCACAGTTCAGGGATTCAACATACCAAGGTCCCAAAGCCATTCAAGAGCTGTGCACTGAGGGTATGGTTCAGTGGTGGAGCGTTTGCCTAGCGTGCGTGAAGCCCTGACTTTAACCCCTAGTGCTGCAGAGAAGACAAACCAAGTGTGCACTGATACAAATTTAAGGCAATAATGGTAATACAGAGAATAAGTAATTTAGTAATGCCTAGTTTTTTAAAACGTTTGTATTTAGTATGTGAATACTGTTTTATTCCAAATATTTTTTTTACTAAAACCTAAAATAAGAGCATATTACATAAGACTAAGATTCTATAACATCAGTTAAAAAAATTGAGAGGGCACTAAAAATAGAAATAAAATTTATGTGTGCCTGTTCCTGTCGACCCTACATTTGAGAGTCTATACAGGCAACCATATTAATAAGTAGTTGACTTCAAATCAGTCTATATTGACCAATTTCTAGGTAATACCTTTTGGAAAGCTAAAAAACTTTCAACTTTAGTAGCCAAAATTCAATTAGATGTCTACTCATATTTAAAGCATCATCAGAACCCCTTTGCCTTATAGTCTTTTTGGATCTTAATGGAAGTAAATAATCAACAAAGGTTTTCTGAACTGTGTCCTCAAGTCCCAAGTATCACATGTCCCTGGACACTCAGGGACTTTATCAGGCAGGTGGGGAACATTTTTTTTCTCTAACCAATAATTAGATGTTTTTGTATTTATTGTGAATTGCTATCCAACTGATGTCTTCTAATGCAACATAACTGAAATGATAAATATTGGCCTTTCCTGTCAGGCTTTTATACTTTCGGAGCAGTACGTTCATTCTCTATCTGTTTAGTATCACTGTTTCTACCCAATGAATAGTATCCCTTGTTAGGAATGATGTCGATAAAATGAACAAGGCGGTTGGCCATAGCATAGAAAGCTGTAATGGTAGCTATGTCCCAGGCATCTTCTCTATTGAAGCCATGCATTTCCAGCTTTTTAAAATGGTCATCTGTTATGTCATCAGCTTGGGAAACAGCAAGTGCAAACTCTACCATTGCTTTTTCTCTAGCAGGGAGGTCAGACTTTTTCCAGTTTATACAGACCTGCAATGAAACACACAATCAGAATCTTAGTCCAGTACAACACAGCTAAGAAAATCCAAGGTCCAATGAAACCAATGGGGAAAAGCCCTCAAGGTTATTCTAGAATGAAGGGAGCAAAGTCAGGCCAAAAAGATACACAAATATCTTGGTCAAGCCAAATGGAATATAAACCTGGAAATCTAGTTCAAAACCATGTCTACCAGAAATGTTTTTGAGGACTGGAAAGATGCCTCCAAGGTTAGGAGCACTAGCTCTTGCAGTGTCTAGACTCAGTTCACAACCATCTAGAACTCCAGCTTCAGGGGACTGACACCCTCTTCTGACCTCCAAGGGCACCAAGTACACATATGGTACACATACATGCAGGCAAAGCACACACACATAAAAATGAATGTTTTTAAAAAGTATTTGTGCTTGTTCTAGCTTCAAAACCCTCTTTGTTTTCAGGCTAGAAAGATGGCTCAACAGTTAAGAGCATTTACTGCTCTTACTCAGGACCCAGGTTCAGTGTTCAGCACTCACATGTTGGCTCACACCTGCAGTAACCCAGTCAGTTCCAGGGGATCTGACACCCTCTTCTAGCCTCTGAGGATACCTGCATGCATACAGTATACATATACTCATGCAGGCTTACACACATACCTCTAACTTTAAAAAAGAAAACAACTCCTTTTCCCCCACCTGGACACAGTGGCAATCCCTTCTACTCAAAGCTCAGACAGGAGGATTATTAATTCAGTTTAGTAAAAATCTGGGCAAAAAACCAAGACCATGTCTCTTAAAAAGAAACAAATAAATCCTCCCTTTTCCTCTGAACATCCAGGACTTAAAAAATCTCAGAGTCAAGGACAGAAACTTGCTACTTGAAGAGCTTCCTTCCAGATGAGAGCAGTAGAGCCCACAGGCTACCCCTCTGTCCTGTCCCCAGCGATGCCCAATCAAGACACAGTATTTGTGAGATGAATAGTTTCTATTTATCCAAGCATGGTGGCTCACGCTGAGGCAGAAGGTTCCCTGAGTGTAGGAGTCTACCCAGGCCACACAGTGAATTCCAAGCCACCCTGAGCTACAGCACAAGAGACTGTCTCACAAAGCTAAACCAAAAACAAAACCAAGAAGACCCTCACATTTAGCCATGGATGTGTTTGGCAGTTCATATTTATTATCTCATTCTCTGTGCAGCAGTATTTTTATTATCCCCATTTCATTAAGAGGAAACTGCAGTTCAAAGAAGCAAATTAACTTCCCTAAGGTCACATGGCTACCTCATTGCAGAGCTGGGTCCCACAGCTACACGAGGTCTCACGGACTACACTAACAGTCCTTTTCTCTGCTGGAGTGAAATACTGGAAACCACTCAAAACTAAAGACATTAGACCGACTTAGCAACCACAGTACGACAACACGCTTCATGGCCACCAGGAGGTGATGCCTGACAAAGCCTGAATGAGCAAGGACCAGCTGAAGGAGGGGGGCAAGATAAAGGGGAAGTTACCTGCAGGCTAGAAACACAATCTCCACCCAGGTCAGGTCAGGAGAGAAGACTGCAGGGAGAGAGACTGATGAATCTCAACTTTAGAATAATTCAGAGAAAATGTTTTAGTTCCCCAGCCCCCAAAACAAGGGATTTCATTGTAGAAATCAGAACTGGGGAAGCTTGGTGATAAGAGAGAACAGAGCCCATTCCAGAAAGATAGGCAGATTGGCCAAAGCCTGGGGCCAGCACTAAAAACTAAAAAACTAAAAAACTAAAAAAAAAAAAAAAAAAAAAAAAAAAAAAAAAAAAAAAAAAAAAAAAAAAAAGCTAATGATCTGACTTGGTTCCTCTTAGAATAATCAGTGGATGTATCCTTTAACAGTGGAAACTGCAAGCAGTACAGCGGAGCAGAAGAGAGCAGCTTTGAAATAAGACTGCTGGATGATCCATGCTGAGGGCAACCTCTGAACTGAGAGCGTAAAATGGTTAGAGAAAAGGGAATCTAGGTCAAGTGGCCAGTCCATCTGGCATAAAGCTGGGAGGTGCAGTTACTCCCTACCTACTCCTACCTCCAATCGCATGTACACAGAAGCAGGTGGGAACAGTGATGGGATCTAGAAGGGAACTCAAACAGTGGGGGGAACTTGAGGTGTATGCCCCACACCTCATCATGACACGAGCTATGTATGCCCTTTGTCCAGGCACAGAGAAGCCCTAAAACTGACACAGGAGAGGTGGGCACCAACCTGGTCAGAGAGTCCTGGGTTCTTCGAGTAGACCCTGTAGAGGGCACTGTGGACAACAACGCTGTACAGGCACCGTTCAGCCAGGCTGGTCACTACGATGATGAGTTCCTTGTCAGCTTTGCTGAGCCGACCTGCAGAGGAAAAGGAAAGGAGACCCATCTAGAAAGCCCAAACAGCAGCTCAGTAAGAACTGCCTGGCACAGGGGTGTTTTATCAACACCTCTGCCCGTCTGCCTACATCCTTTCCCCACTAACACATTCACTCTCGGTCCCTGACTCTTCCTGAAGTCCACGTGTTCTTTCGTTGTCTGTTTCTCCTCTCGAGAGTACTTGGGACACTGCTGGTAAGGCCCTGTTGCTGAAGACAGCACCTACAGATGACACTGAACATGGACAAGTTGACTGTTGCCTAGCTAAGCTTGCACCCCTCCTGTCTAGTGTCACAGTGCTGGAAGGTACTCTGCACACTACTGGAGGGGAAGGTGACCACCACCCAGCTACAAACCCTTCAGTCTACAATGGTGGCCTGTCTGCACTCAGTCCTTACTCGGGTGCATTAGTGGCACAAACGCTGTGGGGTCACCAGCCCTCTAGGATTGGACTTAAGGCCACTCCACGAGATGCACCATGCCTGGCACTGCTCAGGCAGCCAAGAACCTGAGACTAAACAGGGCATGAACCAAGAGGAAAACCACATACTATTGTTCTGCTAAAGGAATATAACAGTAAAATGACTCCTAATGACATTCTGCTATGTCTGTAGATCAGTGTTTCACCCAGCCATAATCACAGAAGCTTCCTCCTGCAGTAGATGGGAACTAATACAGAGACCCACAACTGGACACTATGCAGAGTGAGAAACTTTGGAATACTCAGTCCTAAATGAAATATATTCATCACACCTCTCCCCTCAGGGCTCAGGGAGCTATGTGGAAGAGGAGACAGAAAGATTTTTTTGGTTTTTTTTTCAAGACAGGGTTTCTCTGTGTAGCTTTGCACCTTTCCTGGAACTCACTTGGTAGCCCAGGCTGGCCTTGAACTCACAGAGATCCACCTGGCTCTGCCTCCCGAGTGCTGGGATTAAAGGCGTGCACCACCACCGCCCGGCAAGGCAGAAAGATTTTAAGAGTCATCAGGGATGGAAGACACCAAGGAATCAGTGCCTTTCTGGACACAGCAGGACTGACACACACATGGATGGACTGACTCACAGAGACAACGGCAGCATGCTCAGGGCCTGCACAGGTCTATGCCAGATGAGGTCCCAGTGCTGACAGGGGAAGTGAACATGAGCCCCATCCTTAACCCAGAAATTATCTCCAATTGTTACACTTGCAAAGGAAAAATTTGTTTTTTCCAGTGTATATAAATCACACTTAAGAGCAGGCCCCATACCCAGCAGATGTAGCCACATGGTCTACAGAGTGAGTGAGTTCCCAGACAGTCAGGGCTACACAGAGAAACCCTGTCTCTAAATGTGCCCCCCCCCTAAAAAAAAAAAAGAAAAAAAGAAAGAATATACTATATCAACCCTTAGTGGCTCATATGGAAACCCTTAGATGAGAGAGAGAAAAAAATCTTATTAAAACCAGTGTATATTTTCACGCTGGGTAGTAGCAACTCCTCAAGCTAAATCCTAAGAAATAAGTCCTTGATTTCATGACTTTATTCAAGGGCTATAAAGAACCACAGATGACTTTTTATGCCCTAAGTAAGAAAGAGTGAGCATTACTACTAATTCATTTCCGTTCTATAACTATGGTTCTAAGCTGCATTCAAACACTGCCTTCAAAGTCTAGAGTTGCCCTGGATGTGGTGGTGTATGCTTGGAATCCCAGCCCTGGGCGAGCGGAGGCAGGAAGACTGCTGTGAGCTCAGGACCAGCCGGGGCTACATAGTGAGTTCCAGGCCAGCCAGGACTGTATAATCAGGCACACATAGGCATTCTCATTCTCTCTGCCCTCCCTCCCTGCCTGCCAACCCCACCACTAATAATGAAACAAACAAGAAAACAAGAATCCAGAGGACCACAGAAACTCAGCTGCTCCCTGACGCAGGAACCTGGGACTGGGGAAGAAATGCTCGAACCAGAAGCCGAGCACTTAGGCTTTCTCCAAGAAGGTGTTAGCATTGCCTTTTCATTTACCTGTTTCTTTATTATAGATGGCATTGTAGTACGCAAAGAAAGCTCTGAATTCCGAAGGCCGGTAAGACAACACTTTAAATACATTTGGTAAAAATCCTGTCTGCAGGAAAGGAAAAAGACAGAGTCACACAAAATGAAAACCGGGATGGGAATAAGCAACAGTAACTAGGTTCTCCTGTGTTAAATGCAATCTTGGAAAGGTTATCACCTCTCCTATGCATCCCTTCACCTTTCAGGGTGTAACGATTACTTCTAAAGTGATGATAGTTTTGGTAATTAACATTTTGAAATTTGGAGATTGGAACACCTTGATCAAATGATACACCCTATCATTTAGGTTCTCTGGCTCAGGTCAAATAAATCCTCAGCTGCTAAAAACTACTATCAGAGCCCAGCACACAGATGCTACAAAGCTGCCAGACTCCTGCCCTGTACATTCTGCTGTTCTTTGATCCTTGCATTCCTAGAACATTCGAGCACTGAATCTATCTTGGATATTATGGTCAAAAGCCTTAAAAACAAAAATCAGATCATGTAATTATTATTGATTTATATAGGAGATATTATAAAGATGTATAGAGATACATTATTTGGGTTCTGTTTTATTAAAATAAGCTTTCACAAAATTTTTAAGGAATTGGTTTAAGCAATGCAGTTGATTTGGTACTGTGGATTTTACAATGTTACTCTACAAAGGGGAAAACAAATCATTTCAAGTGGAAAAGGAACAACAACAACTAAACTACAATCAAAGAGCAATTCATGGATGTACAGAGAACTATGGATAACATATACACACATACAAAGATACACATAAAAGCGGCTTGTTACAAGCTCAAGTCCAGTTATGGTAGATTGCTGAGATGAATACAGTATCTTTATACAACTGGCCTCATAAAAGACACCACTAAAAATAATGATGTTTTGACCTAGAAACATATTCAAGATAACAAAATTTCACTGAAGAAATTCACATGAATTTTTACAAAGAAAACAGAGAAGTAGAAGACATCAACATATTAATAGTGGCTAACTCTGTGTAATAGACTCAGATTGTTGTTTATTTTCACTTTTCTGCTCGATTTTAGAGGAAAAAGCAAGAAACCTATCACCTGAGCAGCTGGCATGGCTCCTCGCTGAGGTATATGGGTTATATATCCGTACTACAGTATAGTGCTATACAGAACTACAGAGTGCGCCTCAGTCACAGTGGGCAGGGACTAAGGGACAGAGTGAAGACGCAGAAGCCAAGAGGAAGAGCAGACGGACTCAGGCACCTGGACCTAGGAAGGGTCCCCCACTGTGGTGAGCTTGGCAGCCTGCGGCAAGCAGGACTGGTGGTCACACTGAGGCCAATACGGGTCTCCCCTGGCACTGACCCTGCAGCAGGGTGTAGCTCACCGTTCTTTTCATCTCTTCCATGAGCTCTACAATGTCAAAGGGCAGGTCCTTCTTATAGGGAACCGGGTAACGACCAATGGGTTTGGAATTGTCTTCTTTCTCATCCTCAAAAAAGTAAGAATTCAGGGTCACCACAGGCCACTTCTTCCAAACCTTACTTGTCAAGAGGTGAAGAGACTAACAGGAAATAAAGACAAGTTTAGATGAGCTACTAACAGAATTTCCCAGGCAGCCACTCTGTATCTGGTCCTAAAGGAGAGAGAACTCACAGTTCCATCTCCTGTATCAATCCCACTGGTTAGAAGTCACTGGAGTAATGTGACAAAGATTCTGGACCCAACATACAACAATGCTTAATTAATCAGTAACGTTTGATGTAGGGAGGGAAGCTGATGCCGAATGGAATTTCTGTTGGCAACACCTGACTTGAAGTCCACTTCAGGGCTTAGACAGGTGATAAAGCTTCTACTCAGCATTTACAAGGTGCTGGGTGGGGGATAAAAGAAAACCAAAACAGGAAAGTCCAGGTGAGGTACCATCCAATGGCAGTAAATAAATTGAAGTGTATCAAGTGATTACAGGATAACTCTAATAACAGTACTTGCTACCAACCAAGCATCCGGCTTTTACATACACTTTCTAGTACTCCCAAACATCTTTCATTTTAGCAATGAAGATTAAGGGTCAGAAAGGCTTATAGTGGTCACACAGAGATAACTGTCTGAGTCTGTACTCAAATCCAGAATTGTCGGGTTCTAGGTCTATATTCTTCCCACTATAGAGTCCTGTCTCTTAGGAGAGTTAGTCAGCAGGACTGGAGAGAGGGCTCAGTGCTTAGGAACACTGGCTGCTCTTAACCCAGGTTTGATCCCTAGCACCCATATGGCAGCTCACAATCACCTGTAACTCCAATCCCAGGAGATCTACAATCACCTGTAACTCCAATCCCAGGAGATCTGACACCTTCTTCTGGCCTCCATGGACACTGCACACATGCAGTGCACAAACATCCATGCAGACAAAACACCCAGACACATGAAATAAAAACCAAGGTTTAAAAAAGTTTGAAGCTAGCCAACAAAAGGCAACAATAACAAACAAGAAAATGTTATTAGCCGAAAAGATCAAAGCAAACAAAAATCCGAACATGCAGCCCATTCGTTTCTTCTACCATAGAGAGTTCTATGAAGGCTGCAGAAAATCGTGATGATGCTTTTCTAGAAAGCTTGTCTGCTCAGGCAAGCAGAAGCTGTCAAGTTGTAATGCAGGGCTATCTGAATCAGGCTGCCAAGGCCAGCCCCTGCCTGTCCCTGCTGTTTACCCACTGTGTGGGCTGAGGTAGGCTACTTCTCTGCCCTTCAATCTCCTTCATCTGTCAAGTATGGATAATAACAGTACCAATGATGCTATTGTAAGCATTAATGAGTTAACTAACCTAAGACACAATTTTGCATTTAGGTATTTATTCTGTATAGATATGCCTACTAGAGTATAAATAATAAGATTACACGTTTACAATGATGATGTGATTTAAGTCTATTATAGGACACTATATCGATTGATATTTGCCTATATGTTTAAGTGTAAGACCCACAGAATAGATCTGGGCTTTTGTTTGTTTTTCAAGACAGGGTTTCTCTGTATAACAGTTCTGGCTATCCTGGAATTCGCTTTGTAGACCAGACCAGGCTGATCTCAAACTCACAGAGATCTGCCTTCCTCTGCCTCCCAAGTGCTGGGATTAAAGGCGTGTGCCACCACCACTGCACGGTATAACTTTTTTTTTTTTTTTAAATAAAAAAAACCGTTTTGTTTGTTTGAGACAGGATCTACATAGCCTTGGCTGTCCTGAAACTTACTAAGTAGACCAGGGTGGCCTTGAACTCAGAGATCCACCTGCCTCTTCCTCCTGAGTGCTGGGATTAAAGGCATGTGCCACTAAGCAAAGACTTATTTTTTAAAATTATATGGATGTGGATGTGTCTATTCGTGGCTATGTGGACTTCAGTGTAGTTGCCAACAGAGGCCAGAAGAGGGTGTCAGATCCTCTGATGTTGGAGTTACAGGCAGTTTCGAGTTCAAATCCCTAGAAGAGAAGCAAGCACTCTTAACCGCTGAATCATCTCTCCAGTTCCCCACTGTGGTGTTTGAATAAGAATGGCCCCACAGGTTCATATATTTGAATGCTCAATCACCAGGGAGTAGCATTATTTAAAAGAATTAGGAGGAGCCCTGTAGTGGTGGTACAAGCCTTTAATCCCAGGACTTGGGAGGCAGAGGCAGGCGATCTCTGAGTTCAAGGCTAGCCTGGTCTACAAAGAGAGTTCCAGGACAGCCAGAGCTACACAGAGGAACCCTGTCTCAAAAACAAAAACAAAAAAGGATTAGGCAGTGTGACTTTGTTGGAGGAAACGTGTCGCTGGGGGTGGGCTTTAGGTTTCAAAAGCCCGTACCAAGCCCAGTCTCACTCTCCGTCTACAGATCATGATGTAGCTAGCTCTCAGCTACTGCTCCAGCACCATGTGTGCCGCCATGCTCCCTGCCATGATGAAAATGGACCTAACCTCTGAAACTGTAAGCCAGCCTCCAATAAAATGCCTCCTTTTATAAGAGTTGCCTTGGTCATGGTGCCTCTTCACAGCAGTAGAACAGAGACTAAGACAGCCACCTTCAGACTCCTTGTGATGGCTTCTTTAATGTGTCAGCATGACTGGGCAAGTAGGTGATTCCCACGTAACTGTTGTATTAGTGATTTTTTTTGTTGCTGTGATAAAATATTTAGACCAAGGCAACTTATAGGAACAAGAACTTACTTGGGCTTATGGCTCCAGAGGGAGAGTCCATGATGGAGCAGAGGCAGGCATGGCAGCTGGAGGAGAGCTGAGCTCACATCTGGACATCTTGTACCGCAAACATGAAGAACAAACTAGCTGTACTGTAGGTGAGGCTTTTTATCTCAAAGCCTATCCTCAGTGATATACCTTCTTCACAAGGCCACACTTGCTAAGCTTCCACAAACAGCACCACCAACTGGGGACCAAGTGGTCAAATGCCCGAGACTCTGGGGACCATAGCTGTTATCATCTGTTGGTGCTTGAGGTTATCTGAATAGGAGGCAGAGGAAAGGCAGTCCACCTCTACTCCTGTTGGAGGAATCCTATTTGGATTGACAAGGACCCAAAAGAAAAAGAAGGTTACAGAAGGACAAATTCAAACTCTCTTCTTTTTTCATTCTTTCTTTTTTTCTTGTCTTTCTTTTTTGTGTTTTTTCCCCCCTTTCGGGGGTGGGGCAGGGTTTATGTGTGTTAACAGCATTGGCTGTCCTGGAACTCACTTTGTAAACCATGTTGGCCTCAAACTCCCAGAGATCCTCCTGCCTCTGCCTCCTGTGTGCTGGGATTAAAGGCATGTGCCATCATGCCTGGCTCAAGCTCTCTTCTTCTTCTTTTTAAAATTTATTTATTAATTATGTATACAGTGTTCAGCCTACACGTATACCTGTGTGCCAGAAGAGGGCACCAGAGCTCATTATAGGTGGTTGTGAGACACCATGTGGTCGCTGGGAATTGAACTCAGGACCTCTGGATGAACAGCCACTGCTCTTAACCTCTGAGCCATCTCTCCAGCCCCTCAAGCTCTCTCCTTATACTAGAACATGTCTCCTCCTGCCCTGAGGCATTGAAGCTGCCAGTTCTCATTACCCCCATCCTGGGTTCAGCCTTTCGCCTTGAACTGAATTCACCTCTGCTTCTCCAGTGGGTTTACAAACCACAGACCATGGGACTTTTATACTCATATGTACAAGCCTGAGATGACATACCTATCCTGAAAAGGATCTGGGCCCATAGTGAAATAATGTGACTGTCAATTCTAATTTTCTATTAGTTCTGCTTCTGTGAAGAATACTCTCCTCGGGCCCCAGTTTCTGTAGCAGCCTATTGCTAACATGCATATTTCACACTCCATATTTCTATCAACACACGTATCTTACTGAAAATGAAGGTCCAGGCTGTGAGGTCTTGCAGATGTCAGTCATTTCTCCAACCCAGTTACTAGGAAGGGGTAAATAGCCACTGGTCTAAGAGGCTTCCAGGCCCCAAAGCTCTGTCTTTAAAAATCATACACCTGGGGGGTTTACCTGGGCGGTCAGAAGCTGAGGCAGTTGGCAGTGGTATTAGAGTTAAAAGTCATGAGGTATAGCAAGTCTACCAGAGTCAGAGTGGGCCAGGAGCACACAAAAGGAAGGGAGGGGCTGTGAGGTGTTGTAGAATATTATTTTAAGGTGTGTTACTTTTGTTTATGTAGTATTTGTTTAACTCTGTGAAGCTGTGTTCCTGTACCTGTCTAAAACACCTGATGGTCTAATAAAGAGTTGAACAGCTAATAGCAAGGTAGGACAAAGGATAGGCAGGGCTGGCAGCCAGAGAGAATAAATAGGAGAAATCTGGGAGGAAAAAAAAGTAGTCAGAGAAAGAGGAGGACTTCAGGGGCCAGCCACCCAGCTACACAGCAAGTCACGAAGTAAGGAACAAAGAAAGGTATACAGGAATAGAAAAGGAAAAGCCAGGGGTTGGGGATTTAGCTCAGTGCTAGATTGCTTGCCTAGCAAGAGCCAGGCCCTGGGTTCGGTCCTCAGCTCTGGGGGAAAAAAAAATAATAACAAAACAAAAACCAAAAAACCAACTGTCCTTTCAACTATAGAGACTGCTAAGACTCAATATAATGTACTCAGGAGTAAAGCACTCCTATAATATAGTCTTCATATAAAAGTAAAAAACACCTTTAGCCAGGTCTGGTGGCACATACCTTTAATCCAGCACTTGAGAGGCAGAGGTAGGCAGATCTCAGGGTTTGAAGCCAGCCTGGTCTACAAAATGAGTTCCAGGATAGCCAGGGATACACAGAGAAACCCTGTCTCGAAAAACCAAACAAACACCCCTAGAATGTGCCTATTAGTCTCATAATCTGATACATATATATGATTATATATACCACACCATATGATAATATAGATACCAGATTATATAATATATATAATTTGAAATATACATACATACATATACTCAAAACTCAAGATTAATTTGGTGGGTATTCTTCCCATTTTAGAAATAAGAAAACAGGCACAAAAAGCCAGAATTCAACTTAGGCAATTTAGCCTCAAGGGTTCTGCTGTGGAATAATCTTCTTGTATGCTGTAAAGATTTGTCAATCAAATTGGTTTAATAAAATGCTGATTGGCCAGTAGTCAGGCAGGAAGTATAGGTGGGTCAACCAAACCAAGAATGATGGGAAAGAGAAGGGCGGAGTCAAAGGTTGCTAGCCAGACACAGAGGGTACAGGAGATGAATGTGCCATGCTAATAAAGATACTGCCACATGGCAGAGTGTAAATAAAAAGTATAGGTTAGGCCGGGCAGTGGTGGCGCACGCCTTTAATCCCAGCACTTGGGAGGCAGAGCCAGGCGGATCTCTGTGAGTTCGAGGCCAGCCTGGTCTACCAAGTGAGCTCCAGGAAAGGCGCAAAGCTACACAGAGAAACCCTGTCTCGAAAAACCAAAAAAAAAAAAAAAAAAAGTATAGGTTAACTTAAAATGTAAGAGCTAGTTAGTAATAAGCCTAAGCTACTGGCTGAGCATTTGCAATTAATATAAGCCTCAGAGTGGTTATTTGGGAATAGGCAGTGTGGACAAGAAACCTCTGTTTACAGAGTTCATATTCAGAACCATGTGCTACATTGTCTATATAAGTTCATTGCCTAGGAATAGCAACCCAACAGTAATTTTTTAAACCTTTAAAGGCCACATGTGGTTGTAAAAACCTTTAATCCCAGAATTTGGAAGGCAGGGGTGCTGTGGATATCACTCTATATAAATAAAACACTGATGGCCCGTGACCAGGCAGGAAGTATAGGTGGGTCAAAGAGAGTGGAGAATTGGGGAAACAGGAAGAAGGGGGAGAGACACTGCAGCCATGGCCAGGACAAGCAGCATGTAAAGACGCCGGTAAGCCACCAGCCACGTGGCAAGGTATAGATTTATAGAAATGGGTTAATTTAAGATAAAAGAACAGTTAACAAGAAGCCTGTCACAGCCACACGGTTTGTAAACAATATAAGTCCTGTGTTTACTTGGTTGGGTCTGAGCGTCTGTGGGACTGGCGGGTGAGAGAGATTTGTCCTGACTGTGGGCAAGGCAGGAAAACTCAAGCTACACAGAGGCAGACAGATTTCTGTGAGTTCAAGGCCAACATGGTCTACCTAGCAAGCTCCAGGACAGCCAGGGCTACATAGAGACCCTGTCTCAATAAACAAACCAAAAAACTTTTGAAGATTTATTATCATTGAAAAATTGATGTGACTGTAGGTACCTGTGGAGACCCAAGTGTCAGATCCCTTAGAACTGAGGTTACAGTTGGTTATGAGTTGCCTAATGTGAGGACCAAACTGTAGCCCTTTGCGAAAGCACATGTTCTTAACCACTGTGCCATCTCTCTGGCCCCTTCCCCTTTAAATATAATCACATCTATAAACCCGAAGTCTGTTTCCTGCTTTCCCCAAAAACACTGAAGGAATTTAATTTTAAATCTATAACATCATAAAAAAGAACTTTCATTGTTAAGTATTTCACCAAAACTAACAGGTGATATTGCTGCTACAGTTTGGATCTGGAATGTCTTCAAAAGGCAGTGCTAAAGGATGTGACTGGTAGCTAGCCTCTGGTATGACTGAAAGATGGTAGAACCTTTAAGAGATAAAGCCTAGTGGGAAACAAATTAGGACATTGAAGGTGTGCCCTTAAGACCAGATGGCTTACAATATTAAGCATTTAGTTGTGTTTATTAGCCATCCATATATCTCCTTTGGAAAAAAAAAATGTTTGTTTGGATCCCATGCCCACTTGCTTTTTGTTTGGTTTTGTTGTTGTTTTGGTTTTGTTTTTTTGAGACAGGATTCTCTGTGTAGTTTTGGTGCCTGTCCTGAATCTCTATACCAGGCTGGCCTCAAACTCACAGAGCTCCGCCTGTCTCTGCCTCCTGAGTGCTGGGATTAAAGGCGTGCGCCACCACTGCCGCCTTGCAAGCACTATCTTTACCTGAGCCATCTCTCAAGCCCTCTTGCCCACTTTTAAGTTGGGAAAATTGTCTTTTTATTGAAATGTAAACTTTAAGATGTATTTTCCTTTATCATATGATTTAGCATTTGTACTAATGTACATTGTTTATGTAAAATAATGGGTTTCACTGTGACATTTTTTTCCCAGATACTCAATTTTTTAAATATTTTCTCCTATTATGCATGTTTTCTGTGTTAATTGTGATAAAGCCTACTTTTTCTCCATTTTCTCCTTTGAGTGTTTGTGGTTTTGGTGACTTCTTATCTAGGAGTCTACTGTCAAATTATCTCTACTAAGAGTTTTAATTGAGTTCCCATATTAAGGTCTTTGAGCTACTGAGTTTTTGTATGTCATTTGTAACAGGTGTTCAACTTCATCCATTTGCATGTATCAGGTATCCTAACATTTGCTGGAAAAGATCATTTTTTTTCTGTTGAATTGTTTTGGTGTCTTTGTCAAAAATCAGCTGAACCTTGGGCCAGGTGCAGTTGTGCTCGCCATAGAGATCCCCCTGCCTCTGCCTCTGCCTCTGCCTCCCCAGTGTTGGGATTAAAGGCTGAGCCATGAATACCCGGCCTCGTTTCTTTCTTGTGTTGGCCTGTTCCAATAATCTATGTCTAGTCACTAAGCGAGTGCTCCCTAGTCTTCCTTAGTGAGTCTTGTCAGTCGGTCACTCTGCCAGTGCTCTCTAGTCTTCCTTAGTCTTGTTCAGTTGGTCACTCTGCCAGTGCTCCCTAGTCTTCCCTTAGTGAGTCCTATTCATGGCAAATAGCCACTTACCAGATATTTTCTTGACATAAATATCTAGCAGTGAAATTCTTTAAGCACATATTCTTTGTTTGTTGTTGTTTGAGAAAGGGTTTTTGTATGTAGCCCTGGCTGTCCCAGAACTATGTACACAGGGCTGGCTTAGAACTCACAGAGAGCCAGGGGGTGGTGGTGGCACACGGCTTTAATCCCAGCACTTGGGAGGCAGAGCCAGACAGATCTCTGTGAGTTCGAGGCCAGCCTGGTCTACAGCGTGAGATCCAGGATAGGCACCGAAACTACACAGAGAAACCCTGTCTCGAAAAAAACAAACAAACAAACAAACAAACAAAATCACTATTTTGGGCTGTTTATTTCAAGTGTACAAAATGCAATTGATTTCCTTATATTGTTTTTGAATCTTGCTCCCTTGTTGAACTTATTATGTTTTATTTTGTGGAATCCTTAGGATTTTCTATATTAGATCATGTCACCTGCACAGTACATGCTTTGTACTATCTTTGCTTCTATTGATCATTTTTATTACCTTTTCTTACAGAATTGTCCCTGGTGGAATTCCATTATAACGTTAAACAGAGCACCAAGAGCAGACCTCCTTGGAATTTGTCAAATGTCAAACATGCATCCACTGAGTTGTATATTACTTCTTCATGTTTGGTATTTTTCATCAGAGAGGTCACATGGCCCTAGGCAGACTCTCATTGCTACTACTGCTACATTACTGTTACTACACTTATTTATCACTATGTTGCCTCTGCTCCAAATTCACCTGCTCTGATAAGATAGATCTGGGCATTTAAAACATTTTCCTTTGCTATTACGACAATAAGCTTAGTATACAGAAGGCCCAGAAGAAGTGTTGCATAAGGAACTGGGTTTGCTTCCTGGGCCCAGTGTGCTCATCAACATAATGCTAGGCATCTTCCCATGCAGTCAATGGATTCTCTAAGGACAGAGACCAGGGTTCAGCTTGCCTGACTTACTCAAATAATAGGTCAGAACAAATCTTTACATAGCTGTTAAGTCTCAAACCCAAGACAAGCAGCCGAGATGCCTATTTAACATATTAAAGCTGGACCTGACTGTCAGGTTCTCCCAGCATCCCTCAGTCCCTAATTTGTTGCAGGGTATGGTGGCAAACCCAACCCTCTACCCTGAACTGTCCAGCCCAGGGCCAGGCTGCCCTTCCTCCAGAGGCTCTTTCCTATATAATCCAGACATTTTGGTTACCCTTCCCCTTTGGACCTTTGGCCTTCTGGCAGCTGCACCTGATTCCCCCTTTCCCCCTTCCCCACTCTCTTGGCCTACCCCTCTCCCTACACGGCCCAACTCAGTCTGGACGTGTACACTCTGGACTCTCCCAGATATCCCTGCCTCTGATTATGCTCTCCCACATATCTATAATAAACTTTATCCTCCACCATATCTAGGAGCCCTTTCCTTTCCTTTTAATTCCTTTTTTCCCCCATTCTATATGTCTGACAGGAGAGAGAGAGAAATGTGGGTGTGGGGAAGAAACAGCCTGATCTCATTAAGGCAGGATAGCCATACCCTTACAGCTAATGAGGGGCTGGAGGGACGGCTTGGCAGTAGAAAGTGCTTGCAGTCCTTGCAAGGAATCGAGTTTGATTTCCAGCACCCACACTGGTCAGCTCAACCTCCTGTAGCTCCAGCTCCAAAGGATCCAGATGCCCCATTCTGACCTCCATAGGCACCTGCACCCACATATGTGTACAGACATAAATATACACATTAAAAATTTAAAAAGCAATTGAAAGATTGCTAATGAACAATTGCTTAAGTCCAATTTCTTGTGACCCATGTGTTGGTAAAGATAGTTTTGATTAGCTGGGTGGTGGTGGCACATGCCATTAATCCCAGCACTCAGGAGGCAGAGCCAGGGGAATCTCTGAGTTCGAGGCCAGCCTGGTCAACAGAGCGAGATCCAGGCCAGGCACCAAAGCTACACAGAGAAACCTTGTCTCAAAAAAACAAACAAACAAACAAAGATAGTTTTGATTAATGTTTTATCCCTAATACTTCTCCAGCCACAATTCTGCAGAATATATCTAAAAAAGTATCTTCTTTGAGGGCAGAAAAAAGAACATGCCAGCACATACTTTTCCTAACATCTGAACTTAAGCTATTAAGTGGCTTCAAAGACCCCAAATCGATTATACTACCCCCATTTGCTCACATTCTACCTTGACTCTTTCCAGGTGGATGTTGTCTTTTTGCTTAATATAATAAACGTACTTTGTGTCACTCTGACGGGTCCTAAAATTCTTTTCTGTGGTGCTATAATAGATATGGGTGAGAACCCTGGAGGATCGGAGAGGGCACGCTGTTAGTTCATTTCACTTCAGACATTACAAGTCAACAACGGAAAAGAACCAGAGGTTCCTTCATTCCAACTTTGGCTTTGGCCACCACACCTGATAACCTGAGTTCTACCCATGGAACTAATGTCGTAGGAGAGAAATGACAACCGCAAGTGGTCCTCGGACATCCACGAGTTCGCACCCTCCACCCCTAGACCAATAAAAAGGAAAAACACCCCCTCGCCCCCCAAAAATTTAAAAGTGAGAGAAAAACTTGTAGGAAAAGTCTGGAAGACTTGGGTTGAGGTCCAGCCTTTCGGGGTGGTAACACTAGGTTGGCTGAGCAGAGATGAAGGCCTGTGGTACTCGAACACCTAAATGGCCTCCACTACAAACTCTCAGTACAGAATTAGCCGAGTCCATTCGGGCAATTCCGGAGAGTCCCACGTGCCAGACTGAGATCGACACCCACGTGGCCTGCACTGTCTTCGAGTGTCCTCTTTATTCCCCGATGGCCACGGCCATTTACATCACCATTAAACGGGACTGTCGCCCCACCCGGCTCCAGACTGTCCCTCGTGCTGCTGAAGTCCCGAGGAGTTTTGGGCCGGGTGGCTTCCAGCCGGGCTCCTCCCTGCACGCCGGAGGGCTAACACTCACACTCACCGGCTGCCGCAGGACCCCGAGGCGTCGAAGCACAAACATGGCGATGCACACTTCGCAGGTTTCCCAGCGTGAGGCCCAGGGGGCATGTCCGGTGGGCGGTGCTCACAAGGGCCCGCCTCTTCCGGCCCTGCGCTTTGGGTCTCCAATGACTTACCCTCCGTTGTTGAATTCATCCGGGATGAACGTAGGATGATGATCCTACGTTTCCCCTCTTCCCCCCTCCAAAAAATGTCCATCCAGTATGGCTCCTGCGTTAGGTTTCGTACTCTAATTTCCTCGGGAGACTCCAATCTACCCGAGGTAGGTGCTGAGGGCCAGTCCTGGGAACAGTCTCCCTCTCTGCCTTTAAGAGGCCTGAAGTAACTGAATACCCTGAAAGGCATAGCGTTGAGCCGTTTGGGGCTTGGTTACTTAGGTCACAGAATACCTATGGGGTCCAAGCCCCAGGGATTAAACGGCTGGCCAGCATCTGGCCAAATTTGGAGGACGTGTGATGGTCTGTTGACCGCTCCTCCCCCAAATTTAAATATTTGAATTGGCACCAAAGAAATGAACAACTGACATCGGTCAAGGTCAAGGCCAAGGCCGTCTGTGCTGCTGGAGAACGGAATCAAAAACTCATTGAAGATACCAACCGAGAGAAACCGAACAAGCTATACTTTGAAAAACCTTCTTCCTAGTTAAAAGTTCAGCCACCTTTCTGTAGGCAGAATAGGAAGGTAAAGCTCCAAACCTAGCTCACGTTTAATTCCCAGAGGCCCTCCAGTTCCAGCATCGCTTGATACTAAGTCAAATGACCAGACTCGGCATGTGAGGGCTCCAAATGGGCCCCAAAGCCAGAAAATTGGAATTTCTTAAGTGCCTGCATGTGGGTTTGGAATTTAACAGTTTCTCATCTAGCTATTAGTGCAGGGACTCTGACCAGCTCAAGCATGGCAACAGTGGCTCTGGCAGGCTGTGTCCTCCCCCACCCCCATTCCTTCTGCCTTGTTAAAACCATTAGATCACGTTCCTGAAGCTAGCCCCCAAGGTCTCTTCCCGTATTTGACCACTTCCTCCTTCTGAGGCTGACTACCAAGGTCCAGCTATCAAAATATCAGTTCCCCTAATTAACATGCTTAATCAAAATATACCACCACATCTTAGCCCATTCTAACACAGACCTCCCCGCTTTTTCCTTCTTAAAAACTACACCTGCAAGTTCATTTGCTGCTGTTTTTCTGCCCGAGTCAGAAAGTAGCCACTTCAACTTTTCTTCCCTGATTAATAAAGGATCTCTCTGTGAAATAGGTGTTTGAGCGTGGTTTGTGCGTAATCCATCCCCGGCGTCGTCCGCCCCCCCCCTCCTTCAATCAGTGTGCTCCAAAAGAAATAGGGGGCAAGAATTGTTCTGCGTTACTGATTTTCCTAAGCCATGGAGGGATAACTCAAGTAGGTGAAAAGGTGTGATGATGTGTTACAAGGTGGTGGCGGTGGTGGGGTCCCAGGGATTAATACACATAAAAGTATTACATCTCTTAGGTACCACGAGCTACGGGCTACAGCACAGCAAAAGAGACAAATGGGGACGACCGTTGTTGTTCTTGCCTTCTTTAAAAATAATTCATTTTTATTTTATATGCATTGGCAATTTGCCTGCATGTGTGTCTGTGTGAGGGTTCAGATTCCCTGGACCTGGAGTTACAGACAGTTGTAAGCCGCCATGTGAATGCTGGGAATTGAACTCGGGTCCTCTGGAAGAGCCGCCAGTGCTCCTAACCACTGAGCCATCTCTCCAGCTCCTACTGTTGCTCTTTCTCCTTTTATACTTTATATTTTACACAATTTAAATTGGTAGCAACAACCAAACAAGCTATATTTTGAAAAAAAAAAAAAACTTTTTCCTAGTTACAAGTTCAGCCACCTTTCTGTAGGTAGAATAGAAAGGTAAAGCCTCCAACTCCAGCTTGCGTTTAATTCCCAGCACGGCTTGATACTAAGGCAGAAGACCAGCCACGGGCTGGGAGGGCTCGGAATGGACTCCAGCCGGCGTTGCTGTTTGGGGGAGGGAGGAGTACCTACCCGCTGAAGAAACCAGAGGGCAGGCTAAAGCTTGGTTCAGAAAGCCCACAACCACCGGAAAGGGATAACCCTGGTGGGCGGGCTAGTGCATGCGGAAGCGGAAGTAGGGCAGCGGAAGCTGCGATGTCTCCCGCGATGGCCCAAGTACCGTCGGTTGCGGCGGCCTCGGTGGCCGGCTGCCGGGCGCGGGTGGCGCACCACGTGCTGAATCAGGTGGTTCTCCCCGGGGAGGAGCTGGTGCTGCCGGAGCACGAGGACGCAGACGGCCTCGGCGGCGCCGGGGAGCAGCCGTTACGTCTGAATGCGGGGGCGCGCCCGCGGCTGCGCGTAGTGTGTGGCCCGGGTTTGCGACGCTGCGGGGACCGCCTGCTGGTCACCAAGTGTGGCCGCCTGCGTCATAAGGAGCCCGGAGGCGGCGGCGGTGGCATTTACTGGGTGGACTCGCAACAGAAGCGGGTGAGCGGACGTCGGAGAGGCGGTGCCGCAGCGGAAGTAGCATCCCAGTGCTGGGAAGACTCCCTGCAAGTGGGAGGAGAGGTTAAGGCGAGCCTTGAACTGCGGTCGCCTCTTAGGTCCCTCTCTGCATCTTCTTTAGAGGAACCACATCCTGAGAAGGGCGAAAGGAGAAAAAGGCTAAAGAGTAGGAAGCTGCAGGCCTGCCCTTTGGAGTTCCAAGTGCAATGAGTCTAAACCACGGGGAGTTAAATTTCTCGTAGAATAAGTAAGAACTTTCACATAAGAAGTGTCTAATGGATGGGCTTCCTTGACTGTAAGGATTCTTGTGCCACCGGATGTATAAAAGATGCTGAAGTATGAAACCTGACCCAGGTCAACTCCGGATTAGAGGCTACAAAGTTGTCCAGACTGATGCTGGCCGGTTTTGAATTTCCAGCTACTCGAGGAGTATGAATTGGGAGGATTGGTTGAGACTCACCCTGAGTAACCTTGATAAGAAGATATTTTATAGTAGTATTCGTGTCGTTTATGGTTGTTCTTTCATTCTGTTTTGTAGTATGTACCAGTGAAAGGGGACCATGTGATTGGCATAGTGATCGCTAAGTCTGGAGATATATTCAAAGTTGATGTTGGAGGGAGTGAGCCGGCTTCTTTGTCTTACCTGGCGTTTGAAGGAGCAACTAAAAGAAACAGACCAAATGTGCAGGTAATGATGGGGGCCTTTGGTTTCTACAGTAAGAAAACAGCCACTCCCCAGAAATTTAACTGTCCACAGAGCTACAGAACTGTCTCCAAAGCACAGGCTATCTTTCCAGTTCTCCAGGTGGCTAAGAAGCGTTCCTTGGGTGCGGCAGCTCCAGAACCAGTGCTATCTATGTGCTTGGGTGTTCTCTCAGGTTGAAGGGTGTCTGCTGTTCCCTTGTTATGTCCTGTCGTGTCCATATCCACCTCACAAGGAAAACGGCCCTCGTCTAAGGGACACTGGCACTGTCAGCTCTGTGTTCATCTTGGCTCTAAATCCTTGGAGCTGACAGAGGAGTGATCTCATTACTGCAGGATTTCTGGTTGGGCTTTCTGGTTAGTTTTGCCATAACCCTCTTGGGGATGCATGAGCCAGAAATTTAATGGCATCTATGCTACTTTTCATTCAACTCTCACTTGGTTTTGTTTCATCTCTTATTTTTTACATGCTGATCCCTTTGTCTCCACATGGTCAAGCATTTGCTCCCTTTTGACAGAACTGGGCAGCAGTCTCATTAACTCTCCTGCTTCCATCTGTTGACATCCTCATGGTGACATATTCCCTTTTTTTTTTCTTTTATGTGTGGATTTTTTTTTAAAGATTTATTTATTTATTATGTATACAGCATGTATGACTGCAGGCCAGAAGAGGGCACCAGATCTCATTACAGATGGTTGTGAGCCACCATGTGATTGCTGGGAATTGAACTCAGGACTTCTGGAAGAGCAGTCAGTGCTCTATCCTCTGAGCCATCTCTCCAGCCCCTGTGTGGATTTTTTAAAAATATTTATTTTATGTATATGAGTGCTTTTTCGACTTTATGCCAGAAGAGGACATCAGATCCCACTATAGAAGGTTGTGAGCCACCATGTGGTTGCTGGGAATTGAACTCAGGACCTCTGGAAGAGCAGCCTGTGCTCTTAACCACTGAGCCATCTCTCCAGCCCCCGTATTCCCTTTCTCAACAGGGAAAAAAAAAGATTGTTCAAACCATACAGAGTTCATTGGTGGTGGGCCCCAGGGGTCTTCCCTCCACTAATGTATGTCATGTAAGCATGCCTAAGCTTCACAGTACCACTGCACTGTTTCCTTCCCATGAGTCTTTACTAATGATGCTTCTCGGTCTGGATTACAGTGTCTCCTCCTCAGCCTAGGAGACATCCATCCTTTAAGGTCCAGGCTAAGCATGCCTATGTAAAGTCATTCATCGTCATCGCTTTTCCTGTATCTTTACCATAGCACTGGAATTGTTCTTGAACTTGTTCATGAGTTTATTCATTCTCATTGCCCTGTGCAAGACCCCCATGCTCCTGAAAGGCCTGAAGTGTGTTATGATTCCCTCTAGGTTTTGTAGTCACCCCAAACATTGGTACTTAAAAATCACTTTTAATGTATGCACGTTGAGAGTGTCTTGGCTTCCATGTGTGTCTCTGCCCACTGAGTGACTGCTGCTTGTGGAGGTCAGACAGGAAGGTCAGCTCCCCTGAAACTTGAGTTATGAGTGATGGTAAGTTGCTAGGAGAGTGCTAGGAACCCAACCTGGGTCCTCTGCAAGAGCAGCAAGTACTCTTAACCCATGAGCCATCTCTCTAGCTCTTAACAGTGGGTATTTTTTAATGTTGAATGAAGAAAGCAAATTCATTGTTTCCTCACTTTACCATTTTAAAGTTCAGTTTTGTAGCCTTTTAAAGCAAATCTTCCATGAAGTAGCATCTGTGAATTGCTACTGTCCCATTTTCTTCTGAATATGGATGTCTTGAGTTTTTCCTTCCTCTGGTCAGATATATAATTTTTTTTAAGTAGTACTGATAGAGCATTCTCCAGTGATGCCAGGTTTTTTGCCATTGTTAGTTTTTGTTTCTGTATCTGCACTGACTGATACAGCACCCGCTAGTTACATGTGGTTATTAAGCACCTGAAAATTAGCTGATGCAGTGAGGAACTGAATTTTATGTATCTTAATTAGACATAAGGCTAAATATAAATGGAAATAAACCACATATAAGTTAGTGCAGTTTTAAAGGGTATTCTTAGACCTTGAAATGGCTCTCGGAGGATCATGGTGTGTGAACTCAACTCCCAGGTAGTATCATCGGTCCCTTAGCTTGAGAACTGTGGGTTGCTGACATTCTTGCCCACGGAACAGAACCAGCAGCAGCACCTACAGGATATCTGGATGAAGGGAAGTGAACTTTAATTTTAATCTTATAGGTTGGAGATCTCATCTATGGCCAGTGTGTGGTTGCTAATAAAGACATGGAACCAGAAATGGTCTGTATTGACAGCTGTGGACGGGCCAATGGAATGGGTGTGATTGGACAGGATGGTCTGCTCTTCAAAGTGACTCTGGGCTTAATTAGAAAGTAAGTTATGATACTTGTTAACTGCCCTACTTTAATGAAATATTTAAATACATTTAATTCTTTGAGAATTTCATACAGTGTATTTTGTTGCTCATTCTCACTCCCTATTCCTCCCTGTAACTTGTCCCAGATCCCTTTCTTCCCTTCCTCCCCTCCCCACCCTACCCCCTAAGTCTGAGTTTGTATGCCCCGCCCCCCCCCGCCCCCTTTTTTCTATTTTGGTTTTTTGAGACAGGGTTTCTTTGTGTAGCTCTGGCTGTCCTGGAACTCACTATGTAGACCAGGCTGGCCTTGAACTCAGAGATTGGCCTACTTCTGCCCCCTGAGTGCTGGAATTAAAGGTATGTACCACCACTGCTCAAATTCTTGTTATTATAGTTGTGTGTGCCCCTTTTTAAAAATGAATAACATTGAATCCAATCTGTGCTGCCCATACATTCCTAAGTGTGGGAGCATCCACTGCAGTGTGGTCCACCTTCCATCAGCTGTATCCTTAGAGAAAACTGGTTCTCTTCCCCTAGAAGCCATCCGCTGCTGTCCATAGTTCCTCAGTTAAGGGTAGGAGCTCCCCTAATAATTATTATACCTGTGTTGAAAAAATAAATCTTTAGGATTTGGATTCTTCATTTACAATATTTTGGTTTTCTTCAGAGTTAGTATTTTAGGAGGCTGGAGAGAAGACTCAGTGGTTAAAAGCACTAGCTACTCTTCCCAATGATCCAGGTTCAATTTCCAGCGACTACATGGAGGCTGACCACTACTAGTTCCAGGGGATCCAGTGCCCACTTCTGGCCTCAGCAGGCACTGAGAACATGTGGTCCACAGACATACATGGCAAAACCAACATAAACATAAACCAAAGTATTTTAAAATGTTTTAGCATATATATTTAAACTCATGAATTTGGTTCTGCCCTCTTAATGTAAATATTAATTTACATTAAGATGCTATTTGGCTATATGGTTTGAGTGTTGGTATAGTGCCGTGTGTGTGTGTGTGTGTGTGTGTGTGTGTGCACACTTGGGTGTTTTGCCTGCATGTGTATATGTGTACCTAGAACATGTCTGGTGCCCCTGGAGGCCAGAAGAGGGCATCAGATCCCCTGGAGCTATAGTGACAGATGTAGTGACAGTGAGCCACCATGTGGGTGCTGGAAATTGAACCTGCTGCCTCTGGGAAAAGTCAGTGCTCTTACCCACCGAGCCATCTCTGCAGCCCTTCTAGTGCCTTTTCTGATATGTCACACTTCAAGTTTATGCTGTCCTGTCCTTTCTTCTCTCTCAGAAGGCCTCCTGCTCTTTATAACTAACATATACCATATGTGAAAACCGGTCTTTCCTTACTTCTAAGATACTTGAATAGGGATGCGGTTTGCATTTGTATAGAATTGCCAAGTGTTTGTAATACCAAATGCAGGCAGGGTGATGTGCTCATTAAGCTTGAGAGCCATGTAGAGATGGTCCCTGACACTGTCCTGGAAGATTTTACAATTCCCATGGGGCAGACTGTGTTAGGGTATTTAGACAATCACCTACCCAGGCTGTGCCATATTACAGGGCTGTACTTCTAAAGCCACTAAAGTTCAGAGCTACCTTCCTAGGTTTCTCCTTGCTATTTGTCCTTCACATGTGGAAACTAAGTTTGAGACATATAAGAAGCATGTTATTGACTGAGCAGCAACCTTGGTTTCATAGATAATACTCTGAATTTAATACCGGGGAGGAACTAAAATGGACAGGAAGTACATTTAAAATATTCTGTTGGCACTGTAGGTAATAGTAATAAGAAGAAGCCAGGCAGTGGTGTTGCACACCTTTCATCTCAGCACTTAATCCCATCCCAGGAGACAGGTGGATCTCTGAATTTGAGGCCAGCCTGCCTGGTCTACAAAGTGAGTTCCAGGACAACTAAGGCTACACCAAGAAACACTGTCTTGAAAAACCAAAAACAAACAAACAAAAGTAATAATAAGCTATGATCCTCAAGTCTTAGAATTAAGGTGTTCAGGAGAAGAGACTATACATTTATGTGTTATGTAACATTGGTGACATGATTGTAAACTCTGGTATGCCTGAAAAGTAGAAGGTTCTTGGAAGGGGCATTGAGTTGGGCACAGTGGCACATTCCTATAGCCCCAGCTACTTGGGAAGACAGGATAGATTTCAAACCTCCAAATCTGAGACTAGTTTAAGTGATCTAGCTAGACCTCGTCTTCAGATAAAGAAGGGCTGGGGGAGGGTGGTACAGGACAAGGGGCAGCAGATGGCATCATGTGCTTGTTTTGGGAACGATGCTGAGGGGGCTTTGAATAACCACAGAGAACTACCCAGAAAAGGACTCTCCCTAGGAGAGCCACAACATACCCTACTGCTTTATTAAATTTGCTTTTGTTTTTCCTACAAGGCTTTTAGCTCCAGATTGTGAAATTGTGCAGGAACTGGGAAAACTCTATCCGTTGGAGATTGTGTTTGGAATGAATGGAAGAATATGGGTCAAGGCAAAAACCATTCAGCAGACTTTGATTTTGGCGAATGTCTTAGAAGCTTGTGAACACATGACAACAGATCAAAGAAAACAGATCTTTGCCAGATTGGCAGAAAGTTGACACGAACATCTCTTTAATGGCTCTTTCAGTCAAGAGTGAGTTTCTTGGGGAAATCTTTTTTTTCAGATGAACCTCTTTGTATCAGATCTTCAGAAGATGCATATTGTCTTTCTAGAATCCAATAAAATATTTTTATAAGAGTTACTGGTCTTTACTCATACATGGATAAGAAAATTGTAACTTTTTTTTTTTTTTTTGGTTTTTCGAGACAGGGTTTCTCTGTGTAGCTTTGCGCCTTTCCTGGAACTCACTTGGTAGCCCAGGCTGGCCTCGAACTCACAAAGATCCTCCTGCCTCTGCCTCCCGAGTGCTGGGATTAAAGGCGTGCGCCACCACCGCCCGGCGAAAATTGTAACTTTTTTATATAAGAAATTTGTATATAGTATTGTTTGAAGTTACCTCCCTTACTTCTCCTATAATACAGCTGCTATAATGAGCTGTAACTCAACATTAAAATTCTTTGTTATAGTAGTAAAACTTGTTTGCCAGAGGGAAAACCTACCTGTAATCCCATAAGCCAGTGGACCGAGTATATAACAGCTCATACACACTTATCTTGTTGAAAAGTTCCAAGTGTTTTTACACCATTAGCTCATACCTGGTCACTGCAGAAGACACTAATCCTCATAGAGATACTGAAGCCGAGTGTAACATGGTCTAAGGCTTAACCCCTGTGTACTGATGTTTTTCAAATTGAAGTGACAGGATATTGTAACTTAACATACTCTATCTACTTCAAAACCAGGATACATTTCTTCCATAACTCATACAAAAACTCAACAATTACAAGTATTTCACCTCATAATACAAGATACTGTTACGTTTTTAGTTTTTTTTTTTTTTTTTTTCTTAACAGTATGATGAGGATTTCTGATCCTAGTCTGGCCAAATGTTATTAAGCTAACATCATTTCCCATAATCGTAAACAGAACTACGTGCTCAGGTTTTGGATAAAGAGGAGGGGTTTGGACTTGACTCGGAGAGGAAATTCCATGCTATTTATGTTATGTTAAAGCCTCGAGAGATACAAATGTACACTGTCAAGTGATAAAAGTTCAGTGGTTCTGGGTTTACAGGTCTCTGAAAGTTATGCACCCCTGAAGCCTACGTGGCCAAGTCCCATCCAGTATGAGAACCATCCAGTATGCTGAAATCCTTAAGGGGTTTTCTGAGGCCTAGCCTATTTTTTAATAAGAACATAGAATTTATCAAGGGATAGTCCCCAAGGGATTCAATGGGAAAGGAGAAGGAAGTAGGCTGAGAGGTAACCTTTGGTTCTTTTGAGATACAGAAAACATCTGAATTTGCTAGCAGCTTACCCTTCAAGTTAACCCCAAATAGGAGAAGTAACAGCTATCTCTGAACATGAGAAGACTTCTGTCTGTAACAGATGGTAGACTAGTGTGCTTGTGTGTCTGAATGCAGCATTCTTTCCTGCTGCTTTATGCTGGATTTATCAATAATAACTTCCTTTTTGATTAGATCTGGGTACATATGTGTACAAAGCACTTGGTTTGTATGAGGTTCAGAAGGATACACAAAACTTTATATATAGACTAGAAGAGAGGAACCCTCCATGACCATAATCAGAACGAGAGGAAGAGAGAGCCACAGGAAAGAACCATGTACTCTAAAGGCTTAAAGTAGGCCAGGCCAGGTTAGGCTAAGACAGCAAAGCTTATATGCAGCATCTGCCTGAGCTGGTGAAAAATCGGCACATTCACAGGTGAGAGGAAAGGAATTTATGAAGTTCTGTGAGAATTTGACAAACAGCTCTAAAAGTAGACTTTCATAAGTAGATAAATGTACAAAATATGGACTAGATCCAAAATGCCATGTACTTGACAATTCCTTAATACATAAACTTTTTTTTTAAAACAATATTCTGTTTTATCAGGGTATTTCCAGAGAGCCAGGCATTGTAGGTGACACAAAGCCTAAAATGTCCTTGCCATTAAAGGCATTCAAAGATCCACAGTAGCATGTAAGGGCAAGTGCCACTGCCACCCTTGGCCCTGTCCTTTGTCAAGACACCTTTGGTCCTTTACGCACTACAGCTGGAATCTTGGACTGCCCATCATTCCATTGCATTCCGAAGAATGTAGCCTTTTCCTGGAGAAACTCCTTTCTTCAATGCTTCAGGCCAGCTGTGAGTCTCAAAGTAAGTGGACAGGATATCAAACACTGTGGAGGTAAACAAGGTGGTGACCATTCAGGAGAAAAGACTAGTGAAGGACTAACTTGGAAGAGGGTGTCCTCTGATTATGTGGTGGTAGGTCATGGGAAGAGAAGAAAGGACATGGCCCTGCCTACAAGAACTCAACTACACTGAGGAGAGGCCTGTGACTAGGAACACTGCCACAGAGGACTGCGGCACCATGGCCACACAGACAAGGGCCTGACGGGCCGCAGTGGGGGAAAGGCAGCTGAGATGCTCCTGTAGAGCGAAGATGCCGGGCACTCGAGACAAATGGGTACTGTCACCCAGGAACAAAGGAAATGAGAAATGCCTGCCAGCAAGTACATGAAGGAGCGTCTAGATATATGGGTCACAGGAGACTGGATCACGGGGCCAGTGCACTCAAAGCAGGTCTGAGAAAGGAGAAAACAGTGCCGCCCACGAGAAAGGACTAGTAAACGGCCAGGAAGGAAGCCTGTTGGGCTGGGCCTCGTGAGCAGTACCTTGGTTGATGGCCAGCACTTCTGAATGGTAGTTTTTCTCATTCTGACGCCTGACCATGTACTCCTGGATCGGCAAGCGGGCTGTCTTCACAGCGCAGTCTCGAGCTTTTTGAAATGTCACCTTCTGTAAATCAAATGTTCTTATTATAGAAGTACATGTGAAGACACTCATTGTAATAGGGACTGCCAATTTGAGAATTTCTACACACTGCTCCTTTTAGCCGGCAGAAAGAGAACAATGTATTCAAACTGCACATCTGAACAGCACTCTGTTCTTTACACCTCCAAGAGGCCATCTGCCTGTCTCAGGAGACTGTGACAAGGAGGAGGACAGTAAGCAGTGGTCCTGCCTCTGCAGTAAAGCTCTTTCCCACTCCCAACTATTTATTTTAAAATATCTCAAGTCTAGGAAATCCAAAAGAATCACTGAATTCATTCCTTTCTTGTTAATGAATGAATGAATGAGATTCCTGTCATCTACACTCACCAGCTAACGTTATCAAATCTGTCTGGGAAGTCCTGGAGAACAGTGGACTTCCCCTTTGACAGCACCTTGTTTTCATTTCTGAAAATCCTGTAAGATTACTAACACACAACCAGTGTCTGTCTCTTCAAAGGCTTTCCCATAATCTCTAATCCAGTCAAGGCGTCCATAGTACACTTGACAGGTTTTGTTTGTAAGAAGGGCTCAAGTGATTCTCCTGCCACAGACTCCCAGGTGGATGGGGCCACAGACATGTCACTCTATTTATAGATGCTTTGTTTTCTTACATTCCTTTAAAATAGCCCCTGGTTGTTTCAGTATCTATTACAGTGGCTTTTTTGAAAGTTCTATCATCTTGCAGAATGTCCCATCCTAGATCTTGTTTCCTCATGACTGAATTTTAATTTTTCAAATTTTGAGCAAGAATATTAGACAGGGAAGAGTATTACACCAGGAGACATAAGATGTCACTCCTGGTGATACTCAGTCTCATCAGATTTGGAGCTGATGATAACCAGTGGCTTCACTGTAGTGGTACATTTGGCCTTGGTACCCTGCCAGGGCACACTCTGAGATAGCTGGTAACGCCTCACTTAACCTGCTGCCTGAATCAGCGACTACACTAGAACACCAAGCAATGACTTCCTAATTCCTACACGCAGGCTTCTTCTGTACGAGACCCCTGCCCGTTTTCAGTTATTATTACGACACTAGGGAACATTTAGGAGTTTGGTTTTGTTTTGTTTGAGACAGGGTTTCTCTGTGTAGCCCTGGCTGTCCTGGATCTCACGATGTAGACCAGGCTGGCCTCGAACTCACAGAAATCTGCCTGCCTCTGTCTCCCAAGTGCTGGGATTAAAGGTGTGCATGTGTCACCATGCCCGGCAGAACACTTAGTTTTAAAACTAATGTACTTCATATTGGTGTGTCTCACACAAAATACTTCTACATACATGATAAACACATGTAAAATAGACAACAAATACACCTAAGAAAAGTGAACTATGGAGCCTTGAGGGCTGAGGGAAGGACACTTATTTCTATGTTCCTTTTTGCAAATGTAAACTATTATATCATTATTCAACTTAAAAACTACGCAGTGTATGTGAATTAGTGAATATAAGCAAAAAAATAATATTTTAATAACAGAAACAAAAATTAAAACTCCAGTAACAGCTTAATTATTCTAATAGGGGCTGGAGAGATGGCTCAGCGGTTAGCGCACTTCTTGTTCTTATGGAGGACCTGGGTTTGATTCCCAGTCCCTACAGGCAGCTAACAATGATCTATAACTCTTGTTCCAGGGGATCTGATGCCCTCTTCTGACCAGGCATGCACATGGGGCACAGACATACATGTGAGCAAAACATTCATATATATAAAATGAAAAACTAAAGAAGAAGCCTGGACAGTCCTACTGATTTGAGGACTGTGGGAATAAGACTCACATCAGCAAGAAAGTTAGTCTAGAAGAAGCCGACTAATCTCACAGAGAAGAAAGTGAAGAAAAAAATGCTGAGTCAAGATCAGAATCATCCTGGCAGAGGAGAGGAGACAGGAAGCAGCAAATGGCTGTCTAAAGCATCCAGTGTGTCTACTCTGACTTCTGGTTCTGCTCCTGTCTGCTAAGCCTGCTGACACAGCCGGCTGATGAGAAGAGGGACCTTCAGGTGGGAGAGGCACCTTAGGAACAACAAGCTCTTCTTGTTCCCATGCAGCTGCTAGGCCTTCTGGGTAAGATAACGATGGGACAAATGCCTCTCCTACAAATGGGCTAAGATGTACACTTACCTTCTGAATGCTTTCATCTACAAGTCCACCAATGATATAAACTGTGTTTTGATCAATGTCTTCAAGGGCTAGTGGAAAAATGAAGGCCACTGAGATCAAATTTGTTTTATAATTTCTAAATCCAAAGAAAGCAAAAGGAAAGAAATACCACCAATATTAATACAACTAATACAACACAATGAAAAGCTAATCCTCGGAAGACAAAGCAGGCCGCCTGCAGGAGATCTGAAAAATGCATGTGATGTGCTGAAAGCGACACCATGTTAGAGAGGAAACAAAACCAAACTACAGAGAAATGTGAGATAATATGGCAGCACCATGACCACCTAATACTAGTCAGTGTGAAAATTATGTGAAACGGAGGATATTCTCTGTGTGTGTGTGTGTGTGTGTGTGTGTCGTAGTTTATATACATTTATAAACCATATCTATATAAAACAGTGACAGAAACCCTGGCCCCAAGCTGGTCAGGAAGCTGGACTGCCAGGCAGCATTCAGAGTCCAAATGAAGACGGAACTAGTCTCTGCAGCATTGGCTATCTGCCCTCAAGAGAGGTCAGTTCATCCCCCAACTTCTCCTCCCCCAACACTCTCTTGCATGGAGTAACAACAAATGTGCCACAGGAAATAATGAACCAAAGTGGAGGAACAAAGTATGACACGAACCCACAAGGAAAAGGCACTCACCCTGTTCTGAGTCGGGAGTCAGGTACACAAGGGTCTCCAGAGGAAATAAACTAAAGCAGTCTTCTTCTGTTACATCTAGCTGGAAATACAGAGGTTATCACACCAGTGGGATGGCATTAAACAGCTCAGCGCACAACTCACACCGGTTACCTGACACCTAGTGTCTGTCAGGCCCAGCTCTGCTGTCCTGGAAGGTCTGAGGGCTCATGCAAAGTGCTTAGTTAAACAAACAAATAGCACAGACATTTAAACCACAGAAATGAGACAGAAAGTGGCCGGGCCTCCCAGAGGGACACGGGGCACACATCAGCACTCAGGTGAGGCAGGCTGTACCACACTAGGGATGGCTCTCTGGTGGAAGGAACACTAGAGCCCGGTTTCTGCAAAGAGGTGAGACTGACACATGGGAAATCACCTCAGACGCAGGAACACAGGACACAAGTGCTGTGGGATGTCCTTCTGCATGCTGTGAATATGTGTCTCTCTCACTGGTTGATAATAAAGCTGTTTTGGCCTATAGCCAGGCAGAATAAGGCTGGGCAGGAAAGCCAAACAGAGATACAGGGAGATGAAGAAGGGCGGAGTCAGAGAGATGCCAGCCAGCCACCCAAGGAAGAAGATGCCAGAGAACAGGTAGGCCATGGACCACGTGGCAATAAATAATTATTAGAAATGTGTTAATTTAAATGTAAGAGCTAGCTAGTAACAAGCTCAAGCTATCGGCCAAACATTTATAATTACTATAAGCCTTGGAGTGATTACTTGGAAGCAGCTGTGGAGTGGGCCGGGACAGAAAGCCTCTGATTACACGAGAGAGGCCGGTGAAGCAGTCAAGGAGGCAGTAGCTGTGTAGTGCCACATGGCACATCTCACACCCATGGCCTCTGTGACTTCCCCAGGGAAGGCTGCAATAACAGTCCCAGCTACACAGCAGCACAGAGGGGCATCTTTAGAGCCAATCCTTGAGACAGATTCGGATTCTCACTTACATATCTGCTGCTACCCATACGAGAACCTCAGTAAGGGATGGAAAGTCCTGTAGTTCTTCCCAAGACATCCTAAAGTCACACTGCTTCCAAAAATGGCATTTCTCTTCCTCTAACAGCCATGTTTCCTACCTCTCCATGACTGGAGGATATGGGTTAGCATGAACTAGACAGGTTATAAAACACAGCCCTAGACACTGGGAATATCAGTTTGCCAATACGGAGCAAGAATGAGAAAAAATGTAATACAAGAACTAATGCAGGATTCTAAAACTTTTTAGAGTACAACAGTGAAAATATCATTTATATACAGACATTGCACTTGTCCTCAGCACCCATGGGGATTGGTTCTAAGATGGTCCCATAGACACCAAAATCTAAGCATGCTCAAGTTTCTTATATAAAAAGCCAGTGTTTACACTAAGTTACATGCTCCTGAAGACTTTACATCATCTCAGACTGTCTTAATGCCCAGGACACATAAATAGTTCTTATGCTGTACCTTTAGTTTCCCCTTGGAAACTTTGGAGATGGCGTCTCACAATGGCCTAGGACTCAGTAGGTGGTTCAGGCCAGCCTCAAACTTGACAGTCTCCTGCCTCAGCCTCTAAAGTGCCGGGATTACAGGCATGAGCCACCACACCTGGTTATATTGTATTACAGAGGGAATAAATGGCAAGAAAAAAGTATCTGTGTGTTCACTACAGATGCAATTTTTTTTCCAAATATTTTTGAAGACTCTGGTTAAGCCGGGGTGAGACAGCTGGGGGGGGGAGTGGTGTAAAAAGACAACAGCCACCAAGCCTGCCTTGAGTCCTGTCCCAGGACCCACATGGTGGGAAGGAAGAACCAACTCTCATTGTCCTCTGACCTCTACATTCATGCCATGGCTTACACATATACACACACTAAATGCAAGATTAAATAAACGCAGTAAAAATGCCGTTAAATGTGGGGATGTGGAAGCTACAGGTAGAGCAAGCTGCACATTCAAGAACGAAGAAGCAAAACCTTTCCATTAGGACAGGAGCACTTTTAGATAATTCAGTAATATGTCAAAGGATTCTTACCAAGTATGCAGAAAATCCATCATTCATCCTCAAACACTCTTCATAGAGGGGACTGTCAGTTGAGAATCCAGTGAGGTAGATCCAAAAGGGCCTGCTGGCTTTTTTGTTTGAACCATACAACCTTCGAATCTGTCCCGCCAGCCTGCTCAATTCCTGCAAAGCGATGAGGACAGCTGAGCAGAGAGCACAAGGACAGCTCTGCCAGCCTCCCTGTTGGAGTCCCACAGCACTAACTCCTGAGAGCTGTCCCACAAGACTCATCAGCGAGCCTGGCCCTCTGCCCAGGACCAGCACACCGAGACGTGTCATACTCCACGATATCACACATACAGAACAAGGTTAAGGTGACGACACTAGTCCGGAAACACTTGTGAGTGCAAAAACTGAGAGTTCCTCCTGCTGACTCTGCTGCCGGGTATTTAATGATATTTGGAAAGCTTTCTTCTGCTTTTATCTAAAGTTTTTTTATTATGTGATGTTCAATATTAAATTATTTAAAAAGGTTAGAGTAGCAACACTTTCATGGTACATTTGGTAAAGTTTTTTATGTGATGTTCAATATTTAAATTATTAAAAAGGGTTAGAGTAGCAACACTTTCATGGTACATTTGGAACCATCACCCTAACTTTAAGAGATGCCAAAGTGTTGGAAGTTTTAATTTCCCTCCCTAATCCTAGAAAGTTGTTTCATAATTTAGCTTGATTTGTGCGATACTGAATAAAAGGCATACAGGCTTTGGGTTTGATTTAATCTGCTCTCCCAGTTAATATAAAGGGAGACTGCCTTGTTCACTTTTTGAATGCTTGTTTATGGCTGCTGCCTCTGTCTCCACAGTGCTGGGATTAAAGACATGCACCGCCACATCCTGCCTCCTTGTTCACTTTTCAGAAGGCTACAGTTAGAGGTTCCACTGAGAACCTTAGAGATGCAGTCCTCCTAGTTTCTTTGAGAAACACGTAACATTAGTAAAATAACGGTGATGTCTGAAATACAATTCACTATGGTGTAAGGCCCAGGATCATGTGCTGGTTTGACTTCCGGCACAACTGAGATGACCTCAAAAGCCAAATTCAAGCTCACCTGCCGCTCTGCCTTTCCAGATGAAACAAGTGCCCGAGCTAAAAAGCCTTCTTCATCAAGTGAATGAGGCACAGTTCCTGTTTATCGCTATTTGGCCCCAGCAGCCCATGAGATCGTCCGAACAAACCAACCATATTGTCCTGTGGGACCCAGGGGACAGCTCATCCTTGACATACAAAGCCAGCCCATTGCTTTCTCTTCCCAAGAATAACCCTGTGTGGCTTTGTGTGGCTTGTCACATCCTCTTCCCTAGGCTGTGAGCCCAGGAGACTAACAGACTGCTGTCGATCTCATCTGTCCAGAATCATGTGCATGTGCTCAGCCATCTCCAGAACCCCACAGGTAATTCACTCCCTTGCTAAAGGAAATACTGAGAAATAACTAAATGTAAACACTCCAAGAAGACTGCCCACCAGGAACCCTCCCCACAACATGCTGCCAGGCTAGTATTTCTCTTCCAAGCAGAAGGACAGAGATTTAGTGTCTGGAGAACTGCACTGGCAAGGGTCCATCTGGACTGAAAACATCAAGTCTCCAAAGAGCAGAGAAACTGCAAAATAAACACACACTGCTTTCCAACAGCCACTGTGGGACTCGCGGCCTAGAGTAGAAAGCCAGACACTTCTAGGTTAGAAGAGAGCCACAGAAGCTGGCGACGGTCACCCACTTCACAAAGGCTGCTCCCTTCCATGCCTCCCTCAGGCTCTGAGTATTCTACCTTCTTTGACATGTGGTGGGTCATGCTCAAGTCAACACACAGTCTTGGTCCTGAGTGTTTGGCTTCCAAAAGTCTGTCTTTGGTTAAGGCTTTCAAAAAGCGTTTGCTGTGCTGGGGGCAGGTGCCTGCGACAGAAATACCAGAGAGGATTAAGAGTGGGATAGTACAGGTGCTACGATCAACAGTTAATAAATGGGACCTCATCAAACCGAGAAGCTTCTGCACGACAAAGGACAGTGTCATTCAGATACTGCAGCAGCTACAGAATGGGAAAAGATTATTACCAATTACACATTTGATACAGAGCTAATATCCAAAGTACATAAAGAATTCAAAAAACCATGTATCAAGAAACCAAATAACCCAATTAAAAAATGGGATACAGATCTAAACAGAATTCTCAAAAGAGGAAACTCAAATGAGAAACAAAGAAATGTTCAACAACCTTAGCCATCAGAGAGATGCAAATCAAAACTACTTGGAGATTTCACCTTACACCATCAGAATGGCTAACATAAATAAATAAAAAAAGCGACAGCTCATGCAGGCGAGGGTGTGGCTTAAAGGGACACTCCTCCCCTGCTGGTGAAGTATAAACCTGTGCAGTCACTATGGAAATCAGTGTGCTGGTTCCTCAGGAGTATGAAAATCAATATACACCAAGACCCAGCTATACCACTTGAGCATACACCCAAAGGATGCTTTATGCTTCCACAGAGACACTTGCTCAACCATGTTCACTGCTGCTCTATTCATAATAGCCGGAGAAAACAACCTAGACATCCCTCAACAGAAGAACGGATAAAGAAATTGTGGAACATTTACCCAATGTAGTATTACTTAGTAGTTAAAAAAAATGATATGAAAGTTGCAGGTAAATGATGGAACTAGAAAAAAAATCATCCTGGGTGAAGTATTCGAGACCCAGAAAGAAAAATATGTTCTATTGCTTATGTGTGGATGTTAGCTGTTAAGTCAATGATAACCAAGTTCTAATCCATAGGGCCGCAGAGGCTGGGTATAGAATAAGGGACTAGAGGGAGACAGGTCTCCCTAGGAAAGGGAAATAGAATAGATAGCTATGGAGGGGCTGGAACAGGGGGATCAAGTGGGGAGAGGAAGGAGAGAGGGGCACGAAAGGGGGAATAATGGAGAGAGCCAACATGAAGGGCCATTTGAGGGGCAGTATGGAAGCTAACACAGCAGACGCTTCCTAACATATATCCAAATATGAAGGTGATCTAATAATGGGGAGACAGAGTCCCAACTGGTCATCTCTTGTTACCAAATGATTCTTCCAGTACTGGGATTGGGTTACATCTAACTGAGTGGTTGGCCAAAGGCCCCATGGGCATCCCCAAACAACCTAGGCTGTTGTGGATTATTTGTACACTGTATGAAGATGTGTTGCTGTGATTGGTATAATAAAAAGCTGGACAGCCAATAGCTAGGCACAGGCAGGACTTATGTCCAGAGAGAAAACTCTGGAAAGAAGAAAAGCAGAGTCAGCAACAAGACGGAGAGAAAACAGGAGGTGTAAGATGGAAGAGAGGTAACACGAAGTGACAGAATGTAGATTAATATAAATGGGCTAGTTTAAGTTATAAGAGCTAGTTGAGACAAGCCTAAGCTAAAGGCCAAGCTTTCATAATTAATAATGAGTCTGTGGTTCATTATTTGTGGGCTGGTGGGCCAAAGATAGTGCGATAAGAAAGCTTGCTACACCAGGATGTTGTCAAAACTATAGGTTGCTCTCCACAAAGTGACAGCAAGGCCCCATTGCTGAAGACAACACCTACACAGCTCATTGAACATGGAGAAGTGGAGCTGGTGCCTATATGGAGCCTTCACCCCTACATTCCAGTATCTCTCGTATAGGAAGACACTCTGTAGGCTCCCAAAAGAGAAATGTAAACACCAGTCACAAATCCTTTGATCTACAATGGTGTCCTGACTGCAAAATATGCTAGTGGCACAAAGCTTGTGGGAGTCACCAATCAATACCTGACTTCAGGCCCATTCCATGAGATTGAACCTATATCAACTTGGGTGGCCAAGAACCAGAGACTAGATAGCGCAGGGACCTAGGGTAAAACCAAATACTATTCGCCTAAAACAAACAAACAAACAAAAAAACCAAAACACAACCAAAAAACAAAACAAAAAACAAAAACCCCAAAACAAAAACAAAAAATACATAGCAATAAAATGATTCCTAATGATATTTTGCTATACTCATAGATCAGTGTCTTGCTCAGCCATCATCAGAGAAACTTCTTCCTGCAGCATATGGGAACAAATACAGAGACCCACAGCCAGACACAATGCAGAGTAAGATATGTTGGAATAATTAGCCCTAAGTAGGATATCTCTATTAAATCTCTCCCCTAAAGACTGGGGGTCTCAGGGGAAGAGGAGGCAGGAAGAGGTAAGAGCCAGAGGGAATGGAGGACACTAAGAAAACAAGGCCCTGTAACTCAGCATGATCATAGCTCATATGAAATCACAGAGGCTGAGGCAGCATGCACAGGGCCTGTACGGAGTTGCACCAGTTCCTCTGAGTACATATCTTCCAGTTTAATGTTTTTATGGGATTCCTGAGTAGGTCTCTGACTCTTGTGCCTTCTCTTGGGCTCCTTTCCTTCTGTTTGTCTTGTCCAACTCTAGTGCAATAGTTTTTGTTTTATATTATTATATCTTATAATATAACAGTTATGCTATAAATTATAAATTATGCATTCACAGTTATCATTACCTGGGTGTTCTGCACGTTTGACTTTTCTTCTTTCTTTTTCCTGTTTCCTTTTGCTCTTCTTCGAGGAGACTATCCTTTCCCAGTGTCTCTGTTTTCTCTGCACATTTTTCTTCCATTATCCAGAAAACAAAATCGTTTGAGACTCCATAAGAATCAGAAAGGAAAATGGACATCAGAGTCACTTTTCTGCATTTACATATAGTTAGAGAGGAAAAAGGATGTCTGTCTTAAAAACAATCCTACTGGCTTGTGTTTAATTTTATCACTATGATTTCTTCGACATTTTATTTTCACTGATGAATATTCACTGTACACAGTGTGAATTATTATTATTGTATGCATTGCTTGGTATCTGACTCAGGGCCATGCAAGGCAACAGTTCTCACTGAATAAGACCTCTACCTAGGTTATAATTAGAGAGAACATCACCCCCACTGCACCATCACAATAGTGACTTTTCCAGGTTATAGAAAATCCACTTGGGACAGAATCTAAAGAATGGAGTTTGGAGACCCTGATCCTTTTAGAGGCATATCAAAGTTCCCTTTAAATTTTTATGTAAGACTCAAATGAAAATGATACCTTAATCAAACTAGCAGGGAATGAATTTAACACTTAGAACACATACAATTCATTCTCAACTCCTTTCACGTCCTGATCGACCCTTAGAACGGAGGTCTCTGGGACACTCATCACGCAAGCTCACAGCACATACCGAGCACCATGTCGCACTGTTTGCAGGGCAGGCCTCTTCCTCTTGGTGCTCGTACCCCACATCCATTTGCAGAAGCTGGAAGCTCTCAGAGAGTCCATCTTCACCTCCGTCCTCTGGGAAACCTTCTTGTCCCGGCCACACCAGTGACTCTGTTCTCTGAGCACCCTTTTGCAATTTACAGTCCATGCGCTCTCGTCATTTACACATCCAACTCCCTACATCCAAAAGACAAATGGGGTTACTGTGTTAGCGATGAGCAGGTGTACAATACTGACCCAGACTGAACTAAGAAAAGCATGTTGCTGAGTGTTCCAGAGAGAGAATTCAGCAAATAGTGTTCAGCAATAAAGAAGCCAAATACACTTCTTGGAGGACAAAGACTGATACTTCCAAGCAATCAATACCTACCCACAGAGAGCCAAGTTTTCCTGTGTTCTTTGGAATGCACTGTGTCATTATGAATCAGTTTTCAAATCAGTCCTTTAGCAAATGCTTCTTAAGCATCTACCACATACAAGGTCCTGAGCTAGTAAAGAAGTACGGTAGATTCCTGGGGTTGGTGACAAGGTCAGAAGGACGTGCCGAGCCTCACGCCCACCCTACATCTGAGTAGCATTACAGCAGAAAGCTAGTCACCACTGAGAACGTGTCATGTCCCTTCGAGGGCTGAGGCTGAAAAAACATGGAGAAGCACCGTAACTGTGGTGTTCAAACTCCCGAAACAGAGAGGCTGGTGATGCTTGTGCAAGCTGACCTCGAACTCATGGTGATCCACCTGTCTCCACCTGTGTGCTGGGACTAGACATGTTCACCACCATGCCCTGCTAGTTCAGGGCTTCTTAAACTTTGTCTGCTTGTAACTCTCTTTTACCTGAGAACACATTTAAACTAGCTTAATTCTTTATTATTATATATGTGTCCATGACATGTGTGCATCTGGTAGTGGGGTATCCACGGACAAAGTGTATCTGTTTTTTTTGTTTGTTTGTTTTTTGTTTTTCCGAGACAGGGTTTCTCTGTGTAGCTTTGTGCCTTTCCTGGAACTCACTCTGTAGCCCAGGCTGGCCTCGAACTCACAGAGATCCACCTGGCTCTGCCTCCCAAGTGCTGGGATTAAAGGCGTGTGCCACCACCGCCCGTCCCCAGAGTGTATCTGAAGAACAAAGGAAAACTGAGTGGAGTCAGTTCTCTCCTCCCTTTACATGGAATCTGAGGACCAAAATCAGGTTATCAGGCTTGTGTAGCAAGGGCCTTGGCCTCCTGTGATGTCTGGCTGGCTTTCACCCAAGGAATTTTTATGCAAGTCTAGGTATATAGTATATACAAACATATAATATATATGTATATATATATGTGTGTGTATATATATATATGTGTGTATATATATATAAATCAAACAACTGATAATCACAAAGAAATTCATTTTAAAACATTTCTTTGGTGTACAAATATTTTTACCATTTACTAAAGATGAGAGCAAATTTTCTTCCCAATGAGACAGAGGTGCTTATTTATTTTCATATAAAGAATTCAATCTTGGCTGAATATCTGATACTGTAGGATAGAATGCCTCAGTGTTTTTTAAAAATTGATTGATATTCTGATTCTGTAATTGTCAAAGCTGAGAATGCCACTTCACATAAATATGTGGTACAAAGTGGCAGAAGTATATATTTCAGGAATTGTTGGAAATTCTGTCCTAATCACAACCCAAAATTCAATTAATAGTTTTATAGTAAATATTTTATTTTTATTTTAAAAAATATGTGTATATCTGAGCATGGGTTTCTGCATGTGTGTACCGTGCATGCAGAGCCGGAAGAGGGCAATGGGTCTCCTGGAACTGGAGTTACAGATGGTTGTGAGCTACTGCTCAATGTGGCTGCTGAGAACCGAACCTCGGTCGGCTGCAACAGCAGTACACACTCTTAATTGCTGGGCCGCCTCTCTAGCCTCATAGTCAATGATGTTGTTGTTGTTGTTGTTGTTGTTTATTTGAGACAGGGTTTCTCTGTGTATCCCTGGCTATCCTACAAATCACTGTTTAGACCAGGCTGGCTTTGAACTCAGATCCACCAGCCTCTGCCTCTGCCTCTGCCTCAGGTGCTGGGATTAAAGATGTGTGCTACCACTGCCTGGCATTAATAATGTTTTAATGAAATTAATCAGCAACCCAAAAAGCGGTTTCTTTTTTATTTACAAATTGTATTTTATTCATTATTATTATTACAGCATGTGTGCTGGTACGTGTGCCGTGTACATGTAACAGAAGACAGCTACTGGGGGTCAGCCCTCAGTTTATTAGGGTCTCTGTGCTAACCCATCTCACTGTCCCAAATGCTATTCTAACACAATCCAACCTAAAGATACCTTATTTGGAGCACCAGAGGGACGGCTCAGCAGTTAAGTGCACTGGCTGCTCTTCCAGAGGACCCTGGTTCCATTCCCAGCAACCACATGGTGGCTCACACCCATGTATCACTCCAGTTCCAGGGAATCCAAACCCTCTTCTGGATCTGAAGACACCAGGAGCACACACAGTATACAGACATACACGCAGGCAAAACACTCATACACATTAAAAATATAAGATAGTTAAAAATGTATTTAAAAAATACATTTTAGTACACACATGCTAAAGAACGATAGCAGGAGAACAATGAGTCTGTTTCCCATAATTTAACCACATGTTCTGTAAGAACAGAGACTGTATGTACAGCAAAGACCCTGCAGTTCAGAACACAAGTCTCCTATGTGAGCCACATTAGTGGGCACTGTAGGGTGGGATGGGATGATCAGAGCAAAGGGAGCATGTTGTATATTCACAGTCAACCCAGCCACATCACCTGGATTCATTATGCTTTTGATTTAGAATTAATTTTTGGTCACTGTATGTTCAGAAACCTTTTACTGTTGCCAAATTGTTCATACCCCCGGCCCCACCATGAGTGACACAACACCACATGAAGTTGTGACCCAAAGTTTAAGAATCTAGATTTAGGCAGTTAGTCAGGTGCCATAACCAAGAGGAGTGTGACCGCTGCCCACAGCTGGTCCTGGGTGGAGCCGTGCTTTCCGACCATTTTTGAAAGCTTTATCTTGACAATATAAGTGTATGCAATGTGATTCCCAAACATGGTAAAATGTCTGTTTGCAGTGAAAAGTCACGACCCTCACCATTATCCCCTCAGCTCCTAGAGCAGGCTTTGATAATTACACAGCTGTTTTATGTGTGAGACCAGCCCCCACATTTATTTACCCCAGGGACTCTTGAGGAGTGAGGGAAAAGAGACTGAGATAGAAATGGAGGGGAGAGAAACAGAACACAGAATAGCCTCGGGTGGGCCTGGATCCTTTTTGTTGTTGTTGTTGTTATTGTTTTGGTTTTTCAAGACAGGGTTTCTCTGTGTAGTTTTGGCACCTTTCCTGGAACTCACTCTGTAGCCCAGGCTGGCCTCGAACTCACAGAAATATGCCTGGCTCTGCCTCCCAAGAGCTGGGATTAAAGGCGTGCACCACCACTGCCCAGCTGAGCCTGGATCCTTATCCACTGGCTCAGAGCTTTATTCCAAAGGGCTTTTTATAACAATGCCAAGGGGAGGGGCAAAAGACCTCCCCCTTGCTAGACACAGCCAAGTGTAGGCCCTTCCAAACACCTGGTACTCAGGCCCGTGGTCCAATCATCCTCTTATGCAGTCCTGCTGGACAGCCACTAGGAAACCTCGGTGGGCTCCAACAGTTTTTAGTACTTCTGGTAATAAATACAATGGCCTGGAGTAATATGCTTACACCTTCCTTAATTTCTGTTTTTGAGCTTTGAATTTATCAAATCCAAGTGAAACATGGGAATTCAAATCATGTAACACAGTCTTTTAATATTTTTCATCTTTTGAAATTTTTCTTTTTTGAGGTCTGGTGCTGGGGATTGAACCTTTGGCCTGTGTATTGTTAGGTAGGTGCTCTAACCACTAAACCATATCCTCAGCACTTTCATTAGTGATACCGATCTTTAAATTTTACCTAAGGGTGATTTACAATATATAGAAAGTGCAGAAAATGATTTTTTGTTTTGTTTTGGTTTGGTTTTTGGAGACAGTTTTCTCTGTGTAGTCTTGGCTATCCTGGAACTTGCCTTGTAGACCAGGCTGACCTCAAACTCAGAGATCCTCCTGCCTCTGCCTCCCAAGAGCTGGGATTAAAGGTGTGCACCACCATGCCCAGCTGAAAATGTAAATATTTTAAGGACCCAGTTCAGTGAATTCGTGTGTGTGTGTGTGTGTGTGTGTGTGTGTGTGTGTGTGTGTGTGTGATGAACAGTCTATGCTACCCACTGTTCTCATTAAGGGGAAATCAACTTCCTTCTTTCCAAGCCAATCCTATCCCCACCGCCTGCCAGATGCAACGACTCTTCCATCTCTAGGAGCACTGACCAGCCTGCCTGCTCTCGTGGGCTCCGCAGCGCCCGCCCCTTTAGAGCCTTTTCCTACGGTGTTCCTGAGGGCACACATTTTGTTGTATGCATCAGTACTTTGCTCCTTTTTACTGCAGAGGACTATTACCCTGGATATCCCAGCTGGTACTCAGCCCGACTCAAGGGGACTGCTAGGTGGATAATCAGAGCTCCTTTGTTAGAATTCCGCCCTTGCATCCTGCTCTACAAATTCCAGCCATTTCCTCAGCCCTGAATAAGTCTCAGTTCCCTCTCCAGGGACACCATTGCATTCTGACAGAAAGCCAGGGCCAGAGGGCGCTCAGCTTGTTTCTTTTCACTCCACAAGTTCAGTCCCTGTCCTGTCTACTCTTAAAGGCTTGACAACAGCCTACTTGAGTATTTTGTTCAGTTTTATAAGTTATTATATAAAAATACACCCAATATTTATTCCTTCTGTTTTGACAATTGCCAAAAGTCATTGTTATTACTTTTTAGAATATTTTTAAGCTAGGCTTGGTGGCACATGCTTGTAATCTCAGTCCTCAAGGAAGGTGAGGCAAGGTCAGCCACAGTCGGAGGCCAGCCTGGCTACCCAGTGAGTTCAAGGCTAGCCCAGGTTACAAAGCAAGACCCTGTCTCAAAAACCCAAAATAACAACAAAAATTATGATAATAATATTCTAAACCTGTAGCTCTATTTACGAGGCCAAAGAGTGAGGACTGCTTGAGCCCCGTCTGGGAAAGAGTGAGAGACCCTTTCTCAAAACAACCGCCTAACCATTCCCACCTCCTGCCTTCTCTCTTTCATGTTCTAACCGTGGTGGGCTGAGCCTTTACCGCGAGGGCCATCACAGGTGTTAGTTACACTCTGTTCTATCACGGTTAGGCACCGGGGCTTTGTCTGTTCCCTTGGTTGTTTCTACAATCTGTACCCGATAAATTATACTTCAATACTTTGATACTACTCTCCGAGGCCCGCTCCCGGCAGAGATGGCGCCTATGGTTGTATTGCCTTTGCTGGTGCATCGAGTGCACCCATGGAACATTCTCAGGGTTGAGCTCACGTTGCTTTCCCCACTTCATGTTGCTTGTACTCCACTAACGTCAAAACTAAACTGAAATTTAGTTGTTTTAAGTTTGGGCATACTTAAATGGACTGTTTAGGGAAGAAAACAGCCATTTTAGGATTTAGCCATGTTTTCTGGCCTGCCACTCCTGAGTGGTGGGACATTTATGTGTAGCACAGACTCCCTCCATGAAGTAGGACAGGCTACCTCACTGAACTGAGGGAAGGACCTGATGCCTTTTCCTTCTCTGGGAAACACTGGCTGTCACTGCTTCTGTCTGAAAGCCTGCCAGCACAGCTCTTGGAGTTTCTCAGTCTCGGGCAGTTCTGGGTATGCACCACACACTCCTGAGGATGGCCATGTAAAATGTTTTCTAGATCTGAAGCTGGCATTCACCTGCCTGCAGAGGCTGGAGCTTGCTATCAATTCTACTTACTCTGCAAGAGTTATCAGTTCCTTCCTTCCTTCTCTCCTCCCTCCCCACCTCTTCTCTCTGGGGTACTAAGGATGGAATCCAGAGCTTTGCATAGACAAGTACTCCACCACTGCGTGAGAGCCCCAGTTCTCTTTTCATTTTGAGACAGGGTCACTGTGCAGCCTTTAGTGCGCTCTCTACTCCAAGCAGGCCTCAAGACAGCAATCCTCCAGTCTCAGCCTCCTGTGTAGCTACCAGGTGCAGGTTAAGTTTTAAATGTCTTTTTTTTTTTTAACCGAGTATGTCAGAAAGTTAATGGCATATACAAAATTAAATAGAATATATAATACTTTCAGAAAAATGAGGAAAACAACACATTCTTTAAGCATTCTTTTTTTTTTTTTTTTTTTTGGTTTTTTTGGTTTTTTTGAGACAGGGTTTTTCTGTAGCTTTGGAGCCTGCCCTGGACTACCTCTGTAGACCAGGCTGGCCTCAAACTCACAGAGATCCACCTGCCTCTGCCTCCCAGGTGCTGGGATTACAGGCGTGCCACCACTGGCAAGCATTCTAAAAGCACTGCACTTTTCATGTATGGAAAGTAATGCTGACCATAAATCTTTTCAAACCAAAACTACCCAGACCCGTGTGATGACACTTATTTTAGATGGGTACACAAACTGTTACACTAATCATTCAAATCACTTTGACGTGTGTGTGTGTGTGTGTGTGTGTGTGTGTGTGTGTGTGCGTGTGCGCGCGTGCGTGCGTGCGTGTCTTTCCTGGATCTCACTCTGTAACCAGGCTGGCCTTGAACTCACAGAGATCCGCCTGGCTCTGCCTCCCAAGTGCTAGGATTAAAGGAGTTGCACCACCACTGCCCAGTAATAAAGTGTGTGTGTGTGTGTGTGTGTGTGTGTGTGTGTGTGTGTGTGTGTGTTTAAGATTTATTTATTATGTATACAGTTTTCTGCCTACATGCCAGAAGAGGGCATAAGATCTCATTACAGATGGTTGTGAACCACCATGTAGTTGCTGGAAATTGAGTTCAGGACCTCTGGAAGAGCAGCCAGTGCTCTTAACCTCTGAGCCATCTTCCAGCCCCATAAAGGTATTTTTTAACAGCCAAATTTCATGGCATTTTGTGTTCTTATTTGTGTGTGACTATTTATTTGGTCACTAAGCATGCACTGAGTGCCTCCTACAGGACAGGCCCTGCTGGGGAACGAATGGTTATAATGTCTCTTTGGAAGTCTGGCTGAGAAAAAAAAAAAAAAAGATAGGAGAATTTTGAGGGGCTCTAGAATTTCCATGGCTGCTGCTTAAAAAGCTCAAAAGCCAGGGTTGATATTTTCCCACCAAACTGAATTCCTTTGAGAGACTTTGCAAACAAGGCTGGAGAGACGGCTCAGCAGTTAAGTCACTGGCTGCGTTTGCAGAGGCTGTGAGTTCAGTTCCCAGCACCCACAGACTGGCTCATAACCCTCTGTAACTCCAGTTCCAGGGATTCAATGCCCTCTCTAGCCTCCAAAGAGGCCAGAGAATCAAAGTTCACAGACATACATGGAGGCAAAACACTTATACACACAAAATAAATAAACCTTAGAAAACAACAACAAAGACATTGCAATCAGTAATATTTGGCATGTGCTGAACTTTACGTTTTGTTTTTTGTTCCTCTTGCCTTCCTCAACTCTATAGTCCCTAAAGGTTCTTCTCATACCAGGAAATCAAATAAAGACCATGCCATACCCTAAGAGTCTATATTGTCTCTGCCTGCACACTCCTGGAGGCAGAGACCCCCTTTCTTGAGTGCTGCACCTTTGGTGGACAGCATAAACCCTGGCACACAATGGAAATCCAGTAAATGCTGAATAGAGGTTATCAGCTGAGAGCCCTCAAAAAGCAGAGCTGTGGCTGAGCATCATAATGCATAGATCTGGGAGCAGGAGAGGTGGCCCAGTGGTTAAAAGTATTTGCTGCTCTTAAAGAGAGGACCCGAGTTCTATCACCAGCACCCATATCAGGTGGTTTACAACTGCCTAGAGCTGCTCTCTAGGGGGCCAGACACTCTCTTCTAGACTCTGATGGCAGTGCACCCACACACACTTGTTTGTGTGTGCGTGTATGAGTACACACACACACACACACACACACACACACACACAAAAGAAATCATAAAAAAACATACAGATCTGATGAACCTGCACAAGACATTATCTACGCCCAGATTTGGCATTACACCTCTTAATTAAAAAATCTTTTCTCAAGGCAAGTAACACAGTAGAGTGCTTGCCTACCATGCACAAAGCCCTGGATTCAATCCCTGGTACTGCATAAACCAGCTGTGACTGCTCAGGTAACACTAGCACTAGGAAGGTAGAAAACAGGAGGATCAGAAGTTTAAGATCATCCTTGGCTACATACAAAGTTTGAGGCTAGTCTGAACTACCCAAGACCCTGTCTCAAAATAAGTAAATAAATTCATGAAACATATATTCATAGACAGTAACAGATATATGAGTATCTAAATGTTTGACAATTATACCTCCCTTCTGCCTAGAATCAGCAACATTTTCCATTTCACTTACAGTAATCCCGTATCTACACAGATCATTATGGGCTATCCCTTCTGTCAATTTTCCTTTTTCTAAAAGATTCCATTTATTTGTTTATTTTATTTTTATTTGATTGATTGATTGATTGATTGATTGATTGATAGGGTTTCACGATGCAGCCCTGGCTGGCCTGGAACTTGCTATGTAGACGAGGCTGGTCTCCAATTCACAGATCCACCTCGATTCTGCCTTCCAAGTGTTGGGGTTAAAGCCCTAAAATTTAATTTTATTTAAAAAAAATTATGTATGTATGTGGCTATGTGTCCGTTAGTACAGGTGTCCACGGAAGTCAGAGGCATCAGATCCCCTGGAGCTGAAGTTACAGGCAGTCATGAGTTGCCAGACATGGATGCTGAGTACCAAACTCGGATCCTCTGCAAGGGCCACCTTTCTTGCTAGCCCCTCCTCCATCGATTTTCTTTAGCTCTCTCCGGACTACCTATTCCCCAACATACGAAATATTCCGGTGTCTCTGCATAAACAGTTCTCTCTGCCCAGGATGCTCTTTCCTTAATCTCACACGTCCTCAGTTCACACATACTTTCACTATCCAACACTACCTCCTTATTTTTCTGTCTGATTTTTTCCCACACCCTTACAAAGTGAATGTTCCGTTTACTCAGACTTTCTATAAATACTGTTTGTATTCACTCCGCCATCCCCACCTCAGACCTTATAGCCTAAGTCCCACCGGATGAGCACAAACCCGTGCTCAATCATCCTCTGCTTGCACAAGTCTCCCATTTTTTCATTCTGGGCAGTGGGGCCCCAAAGCCAACACCTGCAGCACCAGAACACCTACCTAGACCCGACCGCCGGCCGCAGGGAACGCGGGTCCCGGTGGCCGAACCAGGGGAGGCAAGACCCAGAAGCCCCAAGATTGTGGGTGCCGTGGCCTCAGAGTGGGACCCAGTAGTCCCCACCCCACCCCCACTCCCCGCCACCTGTCCCCGCGTACCTGACAATTACACCTTGCTCAGAAGAGCTCAAACACAGTGGATCCCGCCTCCGAACCACTTCCGGTTCCTGATTAGCTTCGAATGGCATTCTGGGAGTTATAGTTTTCAATCTGGCAACTCAATAGAGGATGCCAGTAGGTTAGCGGGGCTTCTATACTCTGGGTTACCTGTAAGTTAGTTGAGGGTGGCAGTTCCAGCTCCTCGCAGATCTTACACAGCTCAAACAGGTAACCAGGAGCTTTCTGGCTAGCTGGAAACTGCAAAACTGGGGTAAATGAAGTTTTAAACCACCTGCCTTGCCTTTTGTCATTATGGGGCCCTTATGGTTTCCTGGATTTCCTTTCAACCAAAAGGGCCCATGACTTAACACGGCCCGTTCCTGAGCACACAGTGCTCCCTCGGCCGCCAGGCTGTCCGAGTTAAAAACCCAGACAAGATTTAATAGGCAAGAATCTAGCGGCTGGCTACATCCCTCATGTATCTCCCCTCCACTTAGCAACCCAGAAACAGGCTCAGACACATGAAATGACCTTTCCTTTTTAAGATTTATTTTTGTTTATGTGTATGGATGTTTTACCTGCATATGGTTGCTCACCTCTTGAGTGCCTGAGGTATTTGGGAGAGTCAGAAGAGGGTGTTGGGTCCCCTGGGAACTGGAGGTATAGAGAGTCATGAGAAGCCACGTGGGTGCTGAGAACCAAGTCCAGGCCCTCTTCAAGAGCAGCCAGTGCTCTTAACTGCTGAGCCATCCCTCCAGCCCCCGACCCCAGCCTTGTGTTGATATAGACTACCTGCTACTTTCCGATTAACTCATGCAGTCCTAGGAGTTGAATTTTTAGAGAGACCCTACAACAAGTGAGCCTGAATTCTAGAGAGACCCTACAACAAGTGAGCCTGAATTCTCTCCCCCTCATGAACCCCAAGCCTGGTTGCATTTCTTCTTGGTGTACCGTTTTCTCCTCTGGTGTTTCTTTGTGCAACTCCTCCCAATCCATACTTCAATCTGAGTAAAAACAAACAAACAAACAAACAAACAAAACAAAAAAAGGGGTTTTATTATATAACCCAAACTGACCTCAAATTCACTGTCCTCCAGCCTCAGTCTTACAAGTGCTGGATTATAGTTGTGTTCCCCCGTACCCAGTGCTTCCCCCCTCCCCCCAGTGCTTTGATTGTTAAAGGCTAACACGACATCCCTTTCTCCTATACGACCCAGCTCTACCAAGTCTTCTCTGTTCACTGCTGGCTCTGGCTTCCCACTGCCTGCGGGTGTGCTTTGGTGCAGCTTGGAAAGTGGGTCAAATGGCCTTCAGTGGGGCTTTTAGAGCTGGACTCACCACCTCATAGGCAGCCGTACCGAATGCCTCTCCATCCTCATGCTCTGGTGACACTCCACTTCTCCCAGGAATAGAGAAGACCTCCTAGCTGGTCTCGATGCTCTCCCCCGGCCTTCACTTCTGTGTTCACCACCACCACCACCACCACCACCACCACCACCACCACCACCACCACCAAGGATGCCTCAGCAGTTTTCAGAGGTACCTGGTGTGGTAAAATCCAGCTCTATCCCCAATGCCTTGCACCACCTGATCTGTAGTTTATCAGTTCTAATGCTCTGGTCTCTCCATGCTTTAAACATACCAATGGCATTTGTACACTCTATTCCCTCTCATTTTTTCACAGGTGGGGTTTTAAGATGATGATTAAAAATTGGTTTTTATGCCGGGCAGTGGTGGCGCATGCCTTTAATCCCAGCACTTGGGAGGCAGAGGCAGGTGGATCTCTGTGAGTTCGAGGCCAGCCTGGTCTCCAAAGCAAGTTCCAGGAAAGGCGCAAAGCTACACAGAGAAACCATGTCTCGAAAAACCAAAAAAAAAAAAAATTGTTTTTATTTATGTGACTATGTGTGCCTGTTATTCTGTGTGCCGTGTAAGCGCCCATAGAGGTCAGAAGAGGGTGACCAATCCCCAAGAACTGGCTGTTGTGAGCTGCCTGACGTGGGTGCTGGGAATAGAACCCTGTTCCTCTGCAAGAGCAAGTGCTCTTAACCACTGAGCCACCGCTCCATGCCCTGGTTCTTACTCTTTAAACCTCAGCTTAAACAGTCTCTATTCAGAACAGCCTTTTCTGGTCACATTAGTTGAGCCTGGCTCATCTTATCTGTCTCGGCATCTTTTCATGAAAAGTCACCTCTGTAAGCATTGCAGATCGATGGAAAGGGATCCTGGCAGTTGGGAGCCAAGGAACACAAGTCACTGTAAGCGTAGCTGCTTACATCCCTGCTCTAGGGAAATGTTTCCCCACTGTAACAACTCTGCTCTGGCGGGGGAAGGTTTCCTCCGAACAAAGTTGTAACAGTTTAGTTCAGATCCCCCAGAGCGTAACAACTCTGCTGATAGGAGGTTTGCCCAGCGAAAGTGTTACAGCCTTGCCCTGCTCTGCCCAGGCTCCCACCTCTGTTCCCACGAAAGAAGGTTGTCACCCAAACCCCATTCAAGAGATGTATTGGGAGGGAAAAATCCTGAAGGGTGGCTGCCTTCACCAGTGTGGAAAAGAGCAGTGGCAAACTGACCAGGCTAAAGGCTTATATAGGGATTCTCAGGGGCAGAGGTTTTCCAGGGAGAAGATTTTCAGGGTGGGAATTGGTCAGATTTCAATCCCCTTGAGCTTGGACAAGCTCAGATTGGCTAGATTTTGTACTCAGGGATTGGTTGGTTTTGCGATCGGTTGCTCAGGAGCAGATTTGGCTCTGGTTTCAGACCCAAAGTATGTTTCTTTCACTGGCCTTTTTTTTTCTTTTGGCTCTAGTTTTAGGGCCAGGGTGTGTTTCTTTGGCTGGCCCCTTTTCCCTATAACCTCCATGTCAGTAATTTTGTCTTTCCTACTAATTAGAAGTCCCTTGAGAGTTGGGCGTGGTGGCGCACGCCTTTAATCCTAGCACTAGGGAGGCAGAGGCAGGTGAACCTCTATAAATTCAAGGCCAGCCTACTCTACATATCTACATAGTGAGTTCCAGGACAGCTAGAGCCACATGGTAAAACCAAAATATTATATAATAATAATAATAATAATAATAATAATAGAAAGAGAAAAAAGAAAAAAAGAGCCCATGCTCACCATGCTCATGACTGTCCTACCTGCTATCCCCACATAGGAGACTCTGGCTAACAGAATTATTTTGTCTTTCTTGACATCTAAACCCTACAAAACCTCATGGCCTGACACGTGGTACTCAACAAATACTTGGGGACACCCCAATCCTAATTGGTGCTGCCTCTTACAGAAAGCCTTCCCTGATGACTCCTCTCCAATGATTTCTTTCTCCTTACATGTCTCACGCTCTTCAGTGACCCAGAGCTTTGTCCTTCTCCATCTCCAGGAGTCACTCAACCTCCATCACGAACTCTTGAAGAGGATTCTCACCTTGCCTGCCTCATGTATGGAGTGTATCAAAGAAAGTACCAGGTAGAATGCCTTCCCTGTGCTGTGGCTCCTCAACGAACACCAGAAGTTTCCTGTCATTTCTGGGCCTCACTCTTCCTCATGGGAACCACAGAGAAAAAGAATAGCAGCAAAAGAAAGGCCGAGACTCGTTACTGAACGCCTCAGCTGCAGGCCTCGGGCTTCTTCCTCCCTTCCATAACTGTTTCTCACAAAACTGCTAAACATGTGTAACAATGTGAACTGTTATATTTTAAAAGTATTCAACCCATCTCCATAAGGCTTCTGGCATGCTGTAGGTTCTAGTTAACTGGACACAAGTATGCCTCAGGTCAGTCAGGATCCAGCCCCGAGTGAAGTCTCACGGGGGAATGTGAAGCTCCTGTCTACAGAAATAAGCGATTTTCATCTCCTTAGCAAAAGTTCCAGGTCTTGTTTCACACCATGCACCTTGGTTTGTAGCCTAGTGTCCTGTTACTTTTCAGTCATGAAATCACTTCAAAGGTGCAGTCAAGACTTTAAACTTGGGCTGGAGTGGTGGCTCAGAGGTTAAGAGCACTGGCTGCTCTTCCAGAAGTCCTGAGTTCAATTCCCAGCAACCACATGGTGGATCACAGCCATCTGTAATGAGACCTGCGCCCTCTTCATGCATGCAGGCAGAACACTGTATACATAATAAATAAATCTATTAAAAAAAGAGTTTAAAGTTTATTTGAAGCTTTCTAAGCAAGGCTGTTCTAAGGAAACTAATTCTCTCCCAACACACACACTGATTAACTAGTGACAAATAGGTGGCAGGGGGGAAGGGACATGTGTCCTCTCATTGCCCAAGTATGGTTTCCCACTCTGCCTGGAGAGAGCTTAGAGTGGGCCTGACTCATCCCTGACCCTGCATTTGCCGGCCAGAGCAAGGACTTGGGGTGCCTAATGGGGCAGAGCACTGACCTCACAGCGTGTCAGTCAGAGGAGGAAAAATGGACCTCTTTGATGACCTCTGATGGCCCAGAATGAGCCACCAAACCACACTTGACCAGACAAGAAAAGCCAGAACAAAAGGTGTCCCAAAGAAACCTTGAAATGGGTTTGTCTGGGTTGGGAAAACAATGTGTGTGGCGGATTTTCAGACTAGGAGAAACACGGAGCATTCTGTTGCCAACACTTACAGTTTACTATATTGTTTCCTTGATTTATGCCCTATCAAGTGGACAGTGAGTCTCCTCATGTGCAAGAGAGAAAAACCCCAAACGAGAAGAGTTTAAGCAGCTTGTCCACATCCATGATGGGTAAGTAGGATGAACTTGACCAGCAGAAGCCAGTGAGGAAAGTATTGATTATATTTCTTCTGCCCTAATATTAGTCCAATCATGAAAAATGTGATTCCTGGACTTAGTGTTTGCCTTATAATATTAAACACAGAAGCACAGTGCAAGTGTCAGGGGCTCAGTTTCAGACAACGCAGAGAATACCCCTGCACATGGGTGACCAAGCGGCTCGGGAATTTACTGCCACCTAGTGGCAACCTGTGCTTGCAGCAGCGAGGCAGCCAAGACGGAATATCATCAGGTCCAATCTACCAATAACACATGTATCCACTTGTTTGTGAAGGTTAGTGCCAAATTAATGTAACAGAGGAATCAAGACTGTTTTTCAGCAATTCCTGAGTTCTTGGGACAAAATCCGAGACTTTTTGCCTGATACCTGCTGGCTGGATGGACATCTATTCATCTATACCCCAGCACAACCTGATCAGAGAAGAAAAGGCTTGTGCCATACAACCTGTTATTTCTCAAGTTCCTATTACAGGCCTGGTGCAAAGGAAGTGAATGTCTGTTGAATGAATATGAGTGAACCTGGTTTTTTTGAGGGGGGGCATTTTGAGACAGGGTTTCTCTGTGTAGTCCCAGCTGTACTGGCTGGGCCTTAAACTCACAGAGAACTTCCTGCCTCTGCCCCCTGAGTGCTGAGCTTAAAGGCACACACCCCTACTGCCCAGCTGGAGTGAACATTTTTAATCCGAATTTATCCACTCAGGACAAGACCAGCTAGGATTAAGCAGCAGTTTATTCGAATACTCTATATAGTAAACATTTGAAGGGGGTGGGTGGAGAACTAGAAGAGGCTTCTTGGAGAACTTTCCAGGCAGGGTACAGGGGCCCTGGGTAAGTGCCCTGTTCACAGAGCAGTGGACGCCCGGAACTTCTGGGTCAAACAGAACACAGCAGCTGTGAGGGCTGTGCATTGGCGAGCCAAGAGTTTCACACTGAGGTCCTGGTAGCCTCTCTCACAGGTCAGTTTTGCGGCCTCCACAAACTGGTGGTAGGTATATACCACGTCCCGCAGGTTCCCGGCCACTTCCTTGTGCCGGGCGGAGCAGCGGCTGCAGTCTGTGAACTGGAAGCAGAGGCCAGCCAGCTGGACCAGGTGCTGGAAGGTGACGCGCACAGCACTCTGCATCTCCTCGGGGGACTGGTCCATTCTGATCACGTGCTGACAGCTGGAGAGCAGCTTCTGGGAGCCCATGCACAGGCGGCTCCGGCTCTCTGAGAAGTGCCAGGGGCACTTCTCCGTGGGGTGTTTGTCCCCAGCCCCCCAGGACGCTTCGAGAATGTCCTGCAGCTCCAGCAGGCTCTCCGTGAGTTGGACAAAGCCCTCGGGGGCACGTGCAGGGGCAGTTTTCAGTTGTCTCAGAGCCCTGGTGCAGTACTCTGGCCATACGTGGCTCTTCCTGGACAGGGGGCTGGTGCAGCTGTAGGCGCGGGCCGGCCTCCAGGGCAGCGTCGCCTGGCTTCCTGCAGAGGGTGGTGAGGTAAGGGGGGCCACAGGGTGTGTCCGTGGGTCCCCATCCTCCTCCTCTGTCTCAGGCGGCAGGCCTCGGAAGCACGAGGTATAGGAGAAGTGACATCTGCAATGCTCCAGGCCATTCCCGGCAGGCACCACGTCGTTCATGCCAGCGAAACCCAAGGGGGTGGCCTTGCCATGACTGGTGGAGCCTTCAGGATGGCTCTCTGGGGCAAAGCACAGGAAAGACCTCTCAGGCGGAAGGCAGACGATCAGACTGTCACCTTTGCCTTCTGATGGTGAGCCGTGGCCTGAATCTGCCGAGCGGGGCTCCTCTTGACACGGTGAAAGCTTTGGCAGGGAAGGTACTGTGTGGACACAGACTTGCGGAGGCGTGTCCACAGGGGCTGTGTCTTCCCCCATCACGTGGTTAAGCTGCTCTGCCTTGACCCTCTCTGGAGGGAAGGCTGAGGGAGCGGTCTGCTCCCCAAGTAAGAAATCAGGGCCCAAGTCCAATTCTGCCAACAGCTCCTGTTCTTGGCCCACGGCTTCTCTCTGTTTCCCTGGGGAGTCTTTGAGGGAGAAGGACAGGGTCTGTTCTGCCCATGTTCCAGGAGCCTCTGAAGGGAGGGAGCCCATTATTTCACCAGCCGGGGCGTTAACATCAAGAGCGGGTGGAACGTTATCTGAGTCCTCCTCAAATTCCTCCTGAAATGAGTTGGGTCCGTTTTTGTATGTAACTTCACTGTCACTTTCCAATGACAGCTGTCCTTGTCGCCCCTCTTCTGAAGCAAAGGCAGCCCCTCCTGAACTCACGCCACACTCACCGCGGGTTGTCCCATCTCCAGGAGACAAGGACCCTGGGAATCTGGGGGTACCCTGTTGTATATGATTTACTAGAAAAGAGTCCGGTTCCATTTCTGATTGGACCCCTTCCAGCGCTGATGTGTCTCCTAGAGGGAGAGGATGTGGCCCGGGGCTGTCTGGATTAGGGCTGGCACCAGAGAGAGGGAAGGTGTTATCCTCAGGCTCTGGGGCGAGTTCTTTGGGGGTGGGACCATCTAGGTCTTGAAATGAGGGTAAGATTTGGAAAGGCCTGATCTGAGCGGCCTGTGGGCTGGATGAATCTGGGTTTGAGTTGTGAGGGTTCTGGGGGGTGCTTGCTGAGGAGCTGTCGATGGTGACCGCCAAGGGAGTAGTCTGGAGGTTCTCCGTATTGACGGGGTCAATCCTGAGGCGAATGGCCGAGATAGAAGACACTCGAGAGTCAATGACCGACTTGGTTTCCATGGTCTCTGGCTCCATCTCCATGATCCCGGAGGCTGGATTTTTGCTCTTTGTCTCCCTCAGGGAAGCCAGCAACCCCAAGGCCTTAGTCTCCAGGAGGCCGGGCTCCCCTTGCACGTCCTGCAAGGAGGACACAGTTGAGGAAGGGGCAGCGAGTTTCAGGTAGGGCTCTCTGTCATAGTAGCACACGTCGTCCATGTTCTCCTGGGAGGCTGTCGGCTCCAGGGGGAAGGAGACCTGGGAGGTGTGGTCTGTCTGTAGGAAGGACCTTCTTTTCCTCAGGGTTTTGGCGTACTTCTTCACCCCTCCCCGCCTGCTTGGCTCTCCTCCCTCTGGCCCTGGATGCAGGCTTTCCTCAGAGCCACGGGTTCTAGAATGACTCTGCAATCTCTCGGCACTAAGATCGGCAGCTCTGGGCCCTGCAAGTCAAGACCAGGAAAAATCACATTAAGCACAGAGAAGGAGAGAGGTTGTCCATGCTTGGGTAAGCATGTAGGCTTGCCTGGACTGAAGATCTAAACCTTGGACAAGTTAAGATTTCCTTGCCTCAGTCTCCTCATCTGAAAGATGGGGATAATGATTGCAGTAGACATTTCTTACGTTACTTGTCCAAGACCCATTTACTACCTTTAGTCAGGTACCTCAAGTTTCTTTTCAGGAGATGACATCTCCTCGTACGCTCTGGTAGAGACTGGCAGTGCCAGAGATCAAACCTAGACCCTACACATGCTGGACAAGAACTCTAACACTCATGTTCTCCAACAACAGAATATTAATTTACAATTCCAAAGATGAGATTCACAGCCCAGGCAGTCAGCACAAACTCTCCAGAACTTCAAATACACAAACACACACACACCATGCATACACACCACACCCATACCACATACACCCCCCTACACACACACATAAACATTTTTAAAGGGTGTTAGAGATGGCTCAGTGTTAAGAGCATTGGCTGCTCTTCCAGAGGACTTGGGTTCAATTCCCAGAATTCCCATGGCTACTCACAACCATCTGTAACTCCAGTTCCAGGGGATCCGACACCCTTTTCTGGCCCCCCTAGGCACAGCACACACAAACACAGTGCACAGACGTATATGCAGGAAAAACACCCATACACATAAAACTAATTTAAATTAAGAAAAAAACTAAAACCATGTGTGATGGTACATGTCTATAATCTCATCACTCAGGAGGCCTGAGAAGTTTAAGGTCAGCCTAGGCTATATACTTGAGTTTCTAGCCAGCCTGGGCTACATCTCCAGACTGTAACTCAATAACTGTTAATGGTAGTGAGAAGTCATCTTTGCAGCCACAATACCCTGACAATAATGCCAGCGAATCCTGTTGCAAACACTCCTAGCCTGGCTGCCAGCCATGCCTGGACCCCGTTCTTCGGACTTGCTGGAAATCTCCAGGCTCTTTGCTCTCCAAGCTTTTCTGCACGATGTTAACTCATGCCCATAGCTGCTGCTGCTTCTGTCACTACTTTATGTTGCATGGGAAGGGGGTGAAGGTACTTTCTTTGGACAAACAGGGACCCTGATCATCAGTCAGTCGTGAGGGTTCACACATGCTAGGATGATCTTTCTCAGGAGCAGCAGTATGTGAAAAGGTCTTGGGATTTGGGCAGAAGAAATCAGGATTGCGTGTTAGCAGGGACTTGGAGGCATGTTAGACACTCAGACCAAACATCCCCAACCTGCTTGCGTGGTACTGAAATGACCAAATTCTAGGCCATCCCTCAGACCTCCAAAGTCAGAACTGCTGAGGTTAAATCTGAGGAACTGACAGACTTTAAACAAGGTTCCTTGGGTGATTCTGATGTGCTGCTGTTTGGGAGTTGCTGTCTTGTTGACCAATACCCTTTGATGGCGCTCACAGTGAGTCATGAGCTAGACTGAAACCCAGGCATAAGAGTCCCAGTTCTTTTTTTTTTTTTTTTTTTTTTTTCCGAGACAGGGTTTCTCTGTGTAGTTTTGCGCCTTTCCTGGATCTCACTCTGTAGACCAGGCTGGCCTCGAACTCACAGAGATCCTCCTAGCTCTGCCTCCCGAGTGCTGGGATTAAAGGCGTGCGCTTTACACCGCCCAGCAGGTCCCAGTTCTAGTGTGCTTAGCATACTGACCCCCTCCCTCCCTGTGAAAAGGTGCCTCACATGGACCTAAATTTGGACTAGGTCCCCATAAGAGTCCCATCTGCCAGTCTCAGCCGCACCCCTCATCCTGCTGCTAGTATAAGGGCTAGCTCAGCAGGGCAGAGTTGGGGTCCGGGAGAGCCCCGGAAGAGGTTAGCCAGGTTCTGGTGGAGTGCCGCGTACCCATTGCTGTTCTGTTCCCATGGTCTACAGAGTGAGTTCCAGGACAGCCACAATCACACATGAGACAACAACAGGGAAAAACAAAACCAGCCCCCAACAAACCAAGAAATGAAACCGAGTCAACAGAGATGGCATGAGCTCACTCATTCATTTAGTGACGATGCCCAGGTGCTGTGTGCACTCAGGGAGCCTTTACACAATGACAATGCACAACCAGAGGCAGTACCAAGGGACAGGCAACTGAGATGAGCAGCTGGCCCTGGTCTGGTAAACCCGCAAGATGCTCCCTGCAGAATGGAGCCCTCAGCGGAGACTAGATGGTTGATGGGCACCAGCAGCTGAGGCTCAGGGCAGACGCAGTAGCAGATACAAAGGTCTGCTAAGATACAGGGCAAGGGGGTGGGGACAAGCAGGCAGAAGCCACCACAGAGAGCCTCACAGGGTGCCCTCAGGAGCTGAGCTGGCGTTTCTGTCGAGAGCAACCACGAGAGGGCAGTATTAGAGAGGCACAGAGAGGGCTGAGGCCCAGCCTGCCATGTCCGCCAGTTTTTAACCTCAGAGTGGGGAGACAGTGTAAGAGAGTATGTGTGAGTGTGTGCACATGTGTGTGTCTTGTGAGATTTTCCGGTTAGCCCGGCAAGTCTTTCTTTGGAGAAAGACTTGACAGTGGTGTTTTGTTTGTATGAGATGGTATATCGTGGATTGTAGGTTACATTTTCACAATCTTTTTTTTTTTTTTGGAGATATATAAGGAACCCAGCCAACAGATCCCAACCCGATGTCAGGAACCACTGGACTCCCAAAGGCCATCAGACACCACTGATGCTGTCTCGCTGCTCCCAGGATCCGCAGTGGCACAGTGACCCTCACAACTGGGCACTCCATTCCTTTATGGCGTGTTCTGTCCACCCGACGAGGCCTGGCCCACTCGACACGTCTTCTGGGAAAGCCTCCCCTGGCTCCCACAGTGGGATGAATTCCTCTCATCCCCCCTTGCTCACAATTCTCCAAACCTCCCCTGCAGCCCTGACTCCAGGCCATGACGCTCGTAATTTGGTCCACGGAATCCAGGCTGGCCTCCTCAAGAGTAGACAAAGCCTTTGTATCCTGCTCTCAAGCCGGCCCTGGGCTCTTGGGAGCTAGCTAAGGGTGTTACAGACCTGCTGGGGTGGGGGACGGGGCTCACCTGAGAGTGTGTCTGGGGGTGTGAGTTTGTCAGCGGCATCATAGTATTCCTCATCCGAGCTGCCGTCCTCAAAGGCCAGCGGTGGCAGTGGGTGCAGGGCTAGGGTTTCCAGCATTGAGCCAGGCTGAGCCTCCATCCAGCCCTGCTGGCCCCACGGTGGCGGTGGCGGTGGCGCCCCCTGCCGCGAAGCTGTACTTCCTGAGCTGTCACTCAGGTGGCTGCCCGGGGAGATGCTGGAACACAGGCTGTAGTAGTCAGTCCGGCTGCCCTCATACAACCTGGGGTCTAGCCTGCCCATGCTCAGTTCCGGTCCCCAGCTGCAGGCCCCTGAAGCTAGGCCCTGGGGACACTCTATCTGCTGGCATTGAGGGTTGGCATTCTGGGCGAGGTCCAGCAAACACAGGAAACCCCTGGTCTCGATCCTGCTTTTTTCCTCGTGGCTGTTGGTATCAAGGTCCTTTGAGAAGCCTGGTGGGCCAAAGTGAAAGAAGCTGGTCCCGCTGGAGGAGCAGGCGTCTAAGTCGTCCTCTTCCAGAGCATCCATGGACTCACTGGAGCCGCTGGTCCTACAGCCTCGGCTCTCAGTGTTGGCTGAGTCGGATGCCTCGGACTCGGCACTGTCCGTCATGCTGCTGGCCCCGCAGGTACTCGGGCCTCTCCTGGTCCCCTCAGGTGTGGGACTGTCTCCAGGGGGCTGCTCCTCCCTCACAAATGGTCTACAGAGGCTCAGCTTCACCAGGCGTCGGTCGGACAGGGGCTCCAGTACGCAATCCACTTCAGAGGACTCCTCCGAGTCACTGCAGGCTCTAGACTCATAGCCTAGGACAAATGAGACACAGAGTTACAAATCGACATCCGGGTCTGACAGATACCTGTGTGTCCTGCTTCCCGCCATCCTGCTGGAAGGGAAAATACAGGAAGTGACTGACCGTGTTGAACATGTATAAGCCTTTCTTCTTGCTATGGTCCCTGCAACAACACAGGATAACAATGGCACACTACAATTTAATGGGGGAATAGCTTAGTGGCAGACCATTTGACTGTAATATAAGTTATATTAGTAAACTGTCATGTGCTTTTATTTGCATCCATGTTGAGTGCTGACTGAGGAAATAAGAGATGGCCCCATTCAAACATGCTTATTTCGAACTTCCCCCAAAACTACTTTCCCTGGGTCAGGCCGGTCACAGGGGCAAAGTAGAACAGCAAACCTCCAAAGAGGATTAGAAAAATTGTGTCCTTGAGGACATCTGGAACTATTGCTTATCCCATGGCTTAAAAAATGTGGGCAGTGGGAATGGGAAACCAGAAGCTCCTCCATGCAGACGACACTGCCTGGCACGCTCTTTATCGATCAGGGTCGCCAGATGACTTTTTGTTTGTTTGTTTTTTTCAAGACAGGGTTTCTCTGTGTGACTGCCCTGGCTGTCCTCCAGCTCACAGAGATCCGCCTGCCTCTGCTTCCCAAGTGCTGGGATTAAAGGTGTGCGCCACCATGCCCAGCTCCAGGTGACTATTTTTACGAGGCTTCTCCAGTCATTCCTGCTGGATGACGTAAGCACCAAATCTGATGTCCTACCATATATTTGCTGCCCGCTATTTGTTCTTTTACTTTTGCGTGTTACAGACTAATGAACTCACTCACTCAAAACTGAAAGCAAGGCTATCCTGGACCATTCTCTGTAGCACTGACAGTAGGGTAGATAATTTAGAGTTTGATTTAAAGTCTATGCAAGTATGTGTGCTGGTTCTGTATAAATTATATACCATTTCATAGAAAGGACTGAACATGTGCACATTTTAGTGAGCACCAAGGGTTGTGGAAACAACCCCCTGCGGTTACCTCAGATGGCGTGGACGGCCGCATTCCACTCTCCAACTGTCTAGTCTCCTGGGATGATCTATGCCTGTTTGGCCATGAGGAGGAGGCACTATATAACAGTAAGCTACTGAGCACCTCTGTCTACCTCTGTCGACCATCACGTTGGCAGCTTGAAATGGTGGTGATGGTAGGGCGTCAGGCAATTGTTTCAGGTCAGGGGCTTCCCCCCTGCAGAGGCCGTTATTAAACATTTACCAGGTCGCCCCTGAAGAGCCACATCAATAGAACAGCTGACGTGGAAGCCGCCCGGGAGGCTGTTTTTCTCCCCTGCCCTTTAATACTCGCCCCTTTCATTCTTTACATGGTATAATTTCAAGTCTCTTTTGTCCTCAGGTACCTCCTTTTTCTGAATGTAAGGCTGAGAGTCTCCATCACAATTCGAGAATGAGAAAGAGGGCAAAGGCGCAGATGAGACCAGTGCGCCCACATTCTGAAAAAGTGACACCTCTGTTTGCCGAGAAATAAGATGCAATGGATCTTAGAGACGATTCCAGGAAACTCTGCAGGGAATCAGAGACCTTCTAGCGCTCCTTGGCATTTAGGAGCATTCCAAAGACTAAGAACGCATCTCTCCTATTTAAGAAAGGTCAATTGCTTGGTTGGAAACCAAAAAGCCTGTCCTGACTGGGAAAGACTCAGCCCCTCACCTTCTTCAGCAGACACTCGGTGAATCTGCTGTCTGTTTCCAGACCAGAGGAAAACAGAGCTAGCCGGGTCCACAAACAGCCTGTAGTACCCGGCAATCAAGCACGCCAGGTCTTTTGCACTGCTGGATTCCAGCAACAGAGTCAGAACCTGTGAAGGCAAGCAGAACCTGTCTGTTTGTAGAGGGTCAAGATACAAGAAGGCCTACGGGGCCAAGGAGGGACATTAAGTATATTCAACCATGGTGCACAGACTGGCCCCCAAGTGGCCCGTATATTCACAGCGAGGAGCTAAATCTAAATGCCCAAGCATGTGTGTGCACATAAACATACCTGCACACCCTGGCACACTGTGGGTCCCTCCTCCCTAATCTAAATGCTGTCTCCTTTCTTTCTGTCCTTGGTGCCACCATGCCCTACCCCCACCACCCCCTACTCATTCACACAACTGGTCCCTTAAAGACCCGACCTAGCACAGGAAAAGGAGGAAGATGAGCAGAAAACACAGGGCCATTTCTGAGCACATTGGATGAAATCAAAGGAGGGAATAGTGAATGTAGAACCTTCCAGAAAGGCGCACAAGGTACTCTGAACTATTTATCCATTTTAACTTCCACCCAACAAACTCTGGGTCCAGAATTCTTCATCAATAAAACACATAGCCCAATAAACAGAACAAAACCCTCTCGGAATAATGTATCCTGTTCACCATGGTCCACTTGAGGCAGCTCCTTTTAGCCAGAGAAACAGTGGACTTTATTATCACTCAAAGCTCATATAAACTACCCTAGAATAATTTCACACTCAATCCCAGAGGCCAGAGTCTCTTCCTCTGTGTTACCTTAATGTCCTGAAGATACACCTTGACCATGCTCACTTTCTCGGACTCTTCTGTCAGCTCCACGCGGCTGATGTTGGCAAACTCCGCCAGTGTGGACACGATGTTGAGTTTGCTGTTGATAATCTGGCTAATGCCATACTTGGCTCCAACTAGAAGGGCAATGTAGGATTCTCTATCCTGTAACTGCACAAGAATGGAAGACCAATTAGTTCCTATTCTCAAGCTCGTGAAAACACACCGCACATGCGCTCTCTCTCTCTCCAGATTCTTCTCTGTCATTTTTGGAAATGGTTTTGCTGCGTAGCCCGGGCTGGCCTCAAACTTAAGGTCCCGCTGCTACAGTCTCCCGAGGCCTGGGACCACAGTGTGTGCCACGCTTGGCTCCCCTCTCCTCCACGCCTGTTTCCTACTTCAGCCCCTCACCACCATTCCCTGAGACGACTCCTCAGCATGGGGCCCACCCACAGCTGAATTAAAAAGAACTCTTTATTTTTCACTATTTTAAAATTATGTGTATGTGCGTGCCTCTGTGTACATGAGTTCAGGACATGTGGAGGCCAGATGAGGGTGTTGAATTCCCTGTAACTAGAGTTATAGGCAATTGTGAGCGGCCCGACGTAGGTGCTGGGAACTGAACTAAGGTTGTCTGCAAGAGCAGTACCTGCTCTTAACGCCTAGGCCACCATTTCTTCAGGCCCCTTTGTAAGGCTTTTCAGCAGAGGACTGTTAGCTCTTCCATAATCTTCCATCATCTGCACTTTGTCATCCGGGCGTCTGAATTCAGACTGCACGCCTCTCCTGGACTTCACCCTGTCACCGTTCCTTACGTAAATCCTGACCCTTCCTTAAATGCTCCCTCCAAACCCACAGCCACCTGGCATTAGCAGCACTACCCGTAATCCCAGCCCTCAGAAGACAGAGGCAGGAGGACCAGTTCTAGGTCATCCTCCGGTATACAGCAAATTTGAGGCCAGCTTGGGCTACATGAGATCCTGTCTCAACAAAACAAAATAAACAAACAAACATCTTATGCCCAGGGAAAGCCTCAGCCTCCTCAGCCTCCTCAGCCCGAACAGCCCCTCTCTGCCACGTGGACCCCACGCCACGTCTGTATGTCTCTGGGAACACTGGGTGCATCTTGCTTATTTCAATCACTGACACTCAGATTTCATATCACATGTTGAGTTCTCCGACAGTAGAGTCCGTATGATTCTATATTTGTAGTTAAGCCCCGAGCCAGTCCTGTATAGCTGGCTGCCCTTTCCTGGGGCCAATTCTTTTCCTGAGACAGGAAAAGCCAAGGCAGGCTTGGGATAGGAGGGCTAGAGCCTGTGGGAACAGGAGAAGCTTTCCCAGGCCCTTCAAATCCCTCTGTTCTGCAATCTAGTATCTTCCCCACCTTTGGGGCCTTGTCCTTATACACACACAGAGGGATGGGCTCAGGGCAGAGGGCTCTCATCCTTCTCCTGTCTCGGGCCCACGCCTCAGTTTGTTGGTCTGCACCGTCAGGGCCCAGCCTGGTAGTCAGTCCACCATTCTTATCTCTCGCTCTCCGTCCTCTCTGATGCCCTTCTGTACCCCAACCCCCAAGGGTGCTGCTTACAATAGACCGCACCCCAGTGCTTGTCTCCCATTTTCCAGCCAGGCTTCGCCCAACCATCTGAAAGTCTTCTCTTTCTCGGACTCCGACTCAGTCAGCCATGGCGGCATCTGTCTTCCCACCCTGAACAGTGGTCATAGCCTGCCTCACAGCCTTGTCTTGTGAAGTGGCTTATTTCATCCTTGAGGGCAGGAATCAGAACTAATTCAGCTCTGCCTCCCCTAGCATCTTCCACGGGGCTAACACATACCAAGCCAGGGCCTGATCAATATCTGCCAATCTGTAAACATTCAAGGTCCCAAGCAAGCAGGAGTCCACTGGGGTCCGGTACATACCATCAGGGTAGCATTGAAGACTTTCCCACCATATGTCTTGAGTTCCCCAAGGATCTGAAGATAATTTAAGCGCAGCTGAGCAGCAGAAATAAGTTGCTTTAATAGACAAAAAGAAGTGTTAAAATCAGAGTTATTCACATGCCTAAAATCCAGGCAATGCTGAACATTTCCCCCAAGGCTTCATGATAGACAACTGGGTGGGTCGGCTGAAGCTATGGTTGCCTTACCTTCTGTCGGGGTTCCAGCAAATTCTGGTTCCTCTTCATGTGGAAACTAATGGCTTTCTTGATGTCTTTGCCTTTCATATTTCGGAGTAAAGTCGGAGATATAAAATTCTCTATTCCCCAGTCTTTCCTGCCATGAGACAATGGAGACAAGGGGGTCCATGTTTATTGTGTGTGCACTTGGTTCTAACAAAGAGCAAATGACATGGAATTCAGATCTAGAATTCCGAACACACAGCAGTCATGAGAACCTTTCTCTAGTGGGAGGAATGCCGACAGGCAGAGAGACAGAGGTATAGATAAGAAAGAGAAAGGGGAGATCTGTCTATATCCGTATTTATCTGTGTATGCGTATTTCTCTATAAAAGGAGAGTGAGAAAGAGTGGGGGTCCCCCCATAGACACACATGATATACATTATACATACTCCGAATTTAGGACCTTCCGACTAACCTGGAAATAGACTGGTCTCGGCGTTGTGTGATATTTCATGAATCAAAGCAGAAGTTCTCAATCTTTTTATTTTTATTTTTTTATTGTGCGTCTATACTGAGTCACACTTGTAGGAAGAGTCTGAGATGCTGTATTTTAGCAAGTGTGCTCATGTGTGGTGGTCAGAGGACCACTTGTGGGAATCAACTCTCTCCTTCCACCTGGGGATCAAACTCAGGCTGTCAGCTTGGCGGCAAGTGCCTCTACCTGCTGAGCCATCCCACAGGCCTGTTCTCAATCCTTTTAATAACAAAGTGTGTGGCGCAATCATCCATACATGGGAGCCACGCTCCCACCCTCTGCTAGGGAACAAACCCAGGGTCTTCCTAAGCTAGGCCAGTGCTCAACCACCAGCCATGTCCACTGCCCAAACACTCTGGGGCAGAGAGCACCTGCCAATCCCCAAGGCTAAGCTTTAGAATGGCATTAGCCTAGAGGCCTCAGAATCGCCCTGAAGTTGCTCCTTGACTCATTATACCAGGGCTAGAACCAGGGATCTGTTCTATTTTTAAATTCCGCTTTCTCCGTATGAGTTTGACGCTTAGACACGCTACAGCAGAGACCTGGGGAGGGGGTTAGCATAACAGGGTGTTAGCTCTCAGAGCTAGGAATCAAGAGGTACATGGATCGTAGGACTTGACACCTCCCCCATTTGGGAGTGGGGGACAAAATGCAATAGCAACTGGTTCACACCTGTTGGAAGAATGTATTTCCAAGACACCCCTGCCCTTAGACGCTGCCAACTGACTGCCCCGGACTTCCTTCTAGGGACTGGAAATTTCCAAAGGGACCCTGTGCCATTGCATGTGGAAGTGGCTTCTACCCAGATGGGGGAGTCGGGCTGGGTAAAGGGGAACGGATGGGAAGACAAAGGCAGATGGGTGAATATCAGCTTTCTGTGGAGTCTGTCCACCCTGGCTAGAAGCCAGCGGCCACAATGCGGCACAGCTGCCGACCCTGCCACTCACTCTATGTACTTCAGTGAGATCTTCTGTGGCTGGGCACAGGCATACATCCGCTCCTGGATATGCAGGGCTGCAAGCCGGAGAGCAGAGTTGCACTTCATCTCCACAGCAAAGCGCTCCTGGAGGACATCACTGCAACTCTGCAAGAGATTACACAAAGCAGCTGGGTAACAAGAGAATGCACATCAGGCCCCCTGTGCTCTCAGGTCAAAGACTGCAGTCAGCATTGAGGGCTGGCTCTGACGGTTCTTGGCTGTGTAACCTTAGTTACATTATTAAG